TCACCATACATACTAAAGTATATAATACATATATTATATACATTTATACATTTAACTTATACCCATTGTATTATCTGTCATGTTCCATTGTACTTATTTACATATTCTCAATTATCCATTCTACAAATCATTTTTTTATTCTGGGTCCCTCCTTTCTGTTCCCACCATTGGTAAAATTTATTCCATATCTTGTAATATTCTGTCTCTTCTTTATTTTTCAATTCCATAGTCAGTCTATCCATTTCAGCACACATCAGTATTTTCTTTCTCACCTCACCTTCATCGGAGATTTCTCTTTTTTTTCCATTGTTGAGCAAAAACCATTCTTGCAGCTGTGATAATATGTACTATTAAATAGGTTACCTGTTTACTATGTCTCTCTTTCATAATTCCTAGTAGAAATAATTCTGGTTTGTATTCTATCTTCTGTCCAATCATTTCCTCTAATTACGCCTGGATCCCATGCCGAAACTCCTTTGCTTTTTTTTACAAGACCATGTATGATAATATGTGCCTGGTTCTTGGGCAAATTTTCAACAATTTGGTGATAGGTTTCTATACATTTTAGCCAGCCTTGCTGGGGGGAGATGCCACTTATATAACATCTTGCATAGGTTTTCTTTATACAATGGGAACTGTTCGTTCCCATAGTTCTTACCATTTATCCAATTCTATATTATATCCAAAGTTTTTGGCCCATACCACCATCATTTCCTTGACCTGTTCTTCCTCCATCTTATAGTCCAATAAAAATTTATAAATTTTCCTTATCAGTTTATTGCCTGTCCCCCAAAATATTGCATCTAGTGTTGTGGCTTGTCTACTAATCTCCCACACCTTCATATCTTTCCCATATCGTGATTGGATTTGGTCAAATTCATTCTTCATCTTCCACCAGTGGTGCTTTAGATATTTTAACCCTCTCTATATACTTGTATATACCTTTTGGGAGCAATGAGGACCATGACTCAAGAGAAATTTCATTTGCACAATCCTACCCAAAGCTACTGTCCTATTTCAGGCAGTTACTAGGGATTTGGCTGAACTATGCAGCAAATCTTTGGTTATAACCCCTATTCCTTGGAAACCCATCTGTGCCCATCAGTCACTGGGGGCAGACCAATCTAATAGCTCCTGCCTCTCTCTGGAGGGGTACAGCTCTAGAGATGCTCATAGCCAAGGCACGATCTGACCGTGACAAGGGGACAAAGACAGGCCCACCAGTTCCAAATCACATAGGCACTGCTCCAACAAGAAACACCAAATCAGGTGTGTGACATGTATTCTTTTTATATGTCTATGATAACGTATGTTCTCTTCTATTGAAGTAAGATTCTAAAGTCATGGTTTCTTTAGCAACTGCTTCACTTAGTGACCAAGTTGCTGACCCCAACTGTATTTGCCAAATGAGGACTATAATGAGTATCAGTTTATTTTTTTCTATCTTTTCTTGATTTTTTTCAGCATTATTCAATGTGTATTTTTGATCATCTCAGCTTTCTAGTTCAAGGCTGGAATGTTCTCTTTAATTCTAGTAGCTTTTGGAAAAGCAGTTTAGTTCTTCTACCAATATTTTCAATTTTCTGTTTCCTTGCAAGTATTTTTGTAGTAATTTTCTTTGGCTCATCTTGCAGCATGTTGGAAATTTTGACTCAGTTATGTAGTTGCCCTTCTTGTTTCTCTGGTTTTTTGTTTATTTATGTTTCTGTACAATTTCAGGAATTCTTCCTAATCATCTATTTGGGCCATCTTTGCTTTTTTATCTATTGCCAAAGTTTTCAATGTTCTTCAAGTTCACTTTTTAAATGTCTTCCCATAACTTTTCTGATACTTCCCAAAGGTGCTTTTTCAAAAGGCAACTAGAGTTTCTTGGATTTTTCCTTGAAAACATTTCACTTCTCATCCAAGAAGCTTCTTCAGTTCTTGGATGAGAAGGGAAACATTTTCAAGGAAAAAAAATGAGAAAGTTCAGTTGCCTTTTGAAAAGCACATTTTGGACAACCATGACCTGGATAATTGAGAATCTCCATAGAAACCCTCTTCATACTTGTTAGTATCCAATGCAGCAAATTTACAGAGTCTTTAAATTCTGTGGGTATATTTTTAAGGTCATATTTTGTTACATTCATGACTGGTTTGTTCTGATGCAACTTTAGTCTGATTTGCATACTAGTAGTTGATTATCTGCACCACAATCTGTTCCAGCTTTTGCCTTTGTTAATGTTATTGAGCTTTTCCATTGTGCACTTCCACAGATGTAGTCAATTTGATTTTTATACAGTACATTGGGCAAAGTCCACGTGTACAGTGAATGCTTATACAGCTGGAAGGTGTTAGAAATAAATGGCCTGTTGGTGCATTCAGTCAAATATTCTCCACTTTATTTCTATTCCCAAGCCCATACTTTCGCTCTATTTAATTCCCAATTTTTGCCGCTAAATATTAGTATATTGTGTTTGCATGTTCTTTCAGTTTCAGTTTATGCTATTCATAGAATCAACTTCATCTTCTACCTCTGTTATGTTGGCATATGTACCGGTAGCTGAAGAAAATTGCAATGGGCATTTCTCAAAACCCAGCAGAAATGTGTAAGTGTTCATTGATTGCATTACATTGCATTACAGCTCTTACAAGCTTCTCCTTGGCTATGAATGCCGCTTGAAAAGATTCTTGGGAATACCCTGGACAGTGAAGAACATACATTGATGGGTCATTGACAAATCAACTAGGAGTTCTCATTCAGGGCACCAATGACCAGGCTCCAATTATCCCACTTTGGACACCTTATGCAAAGGTCCAGCTCTTTTAAACAGTTCTAATTCTGGGAAAGGTGGAAGGAAAGAGATGATAAATAGCTAGGTGGATGGACTCAGATTTAATGGTGGTGAACACACCATTGGGAGACAAGAAATAACAGGTTAGAGATAGACTGTAATGGAGAAAAATCTATCTATGTGGTCACTAAGAGTCAGAAACAAGCTGATGGAACATGATCACTCAATCAAGTAATCAAAAGATGTGATTATCAGAATTGTGGTGCCCAGTAACAGTGCATTTCTATTCAATAATGCCTAACAAATTAACTTGGGTGCATTCAATTTTATTCTTGGTTCTTTCCAGTTTTATTTGGTTCATGCTTCACACACTCCATGTCAGACACTTTTACTGCTTCTGATCCTCATTTCATGTTCAACTATATCAACAGACAATAAAGACCTTTTCTTCAGCTAGAGCATATATGCCAGCTTTAATTTGACACATCCAAAACATTTGAGAGTTCCCAGTCCAGGTATAATGAGCTGTAAGAATAAGCTTGAGAAACAGGAGGAAGAGCTGCAACCGAGACAGTAGTCAGACAAAAGACATTTGACTCTGAAGTAGAATTGAAATTTGACCCTCCCTAATTCTCTTGATGATAAAGGGAAAGAGGTATGGAGGCACATTCAGAATTGCAAGGTTCTGTTATTGCAATCAAAGTAGTGCTAGCATTCATAATTTTGATCTACCTCTAAGGGTCGACTCCAACTTCTGGGACAAACTATGTACATACATGATATTATAGATTGTGCTTTCAACTTTCATCAACCTCCTTGTGATATTGAAGGATAACTCAAAGCACTATTGCAAACACATATCATCATGGCCATGGAAAGACTTGCCAGTTTGAATATTTTACATTGTTTCATTAAAGGATCTAAGAATGGGAGAGGTCAATAGGGATTTAAAAAAAACACACACAAAACAGCTTAGGCATCCTTAAAAATTTTTTTGGGGGGAACCATATTTGCACTATTATCCATTCATAACTATATTTATCTCACAGCACTTTCAAAACAAACATGATTTATTGTATCCTTTATTGCATCTGGACACAAGGAAGTAGGACCAGAAAGGCTATAAATGGCACAAAGGACTAAGCATGTTCATATATTATTAAGGTCTTATTGTGTTGAAACAGGAGCAGGGCCAGATCATTCAGAGTCTTAATGAAAAAAACAATCAACCAGCCAACCAATGTAGAACCATAGTGGCTGGAGAATTCTGGGAATTGAAGTCCACCCATCTTAAAACTGCCAAATTTGAGAAATGCTGATATAGTAATTAAAGGCACTACAATAGGAATGGGAAATCCAAGTTCTAGTCCTGCCTTAAGCAGGAAAGCTGGGTGACTTTGGGCAATAGGCAATGTCCAATCACTTCTGAAAAAGTTGCCAAGAAAAAACTGCATGGACTTGTCAAGAACTCAATCAATCATTTATTTATTTTATTTATTTGATTTGTCAATCGCTTACAAAATAATAGGTATAAGTATAAACATGAGTAAGAATACAGAAAATAGGTACGATGAAATGGGGACAATAGGACAGGGACGGGAGGCACGATGGTGCACTTATGCACACCCCTTACAGATGTCTTAGGAATGGAGTGAAGTCAATAGTGGTTAGTTTGAGTTTTAAAGGAGTGGGGCTTTGAGGATGTAACTACAGAGTCAGGTAGTGCATTCCAGGCATTAGAATAGGGACCTCGGAGTTCCCTAACCCTGTAAATGCTACTAACGAACACACAATCCTATTGCACCATGTGAACACCGGCCCCGCAAGTCAATCCTACTATGTTCTTGTAAAGTTATTTTCCATTCAGGAGTATGACAGCCCACGGATAAAATACTGTTCTTCAGCCTGTATCTCCTTCCCGATGGCAGGAAAGTAACGAAATGCTGACCAGGGTGTGTAATAGTAATAATAGTAACATGCACAGAAAGGGAACCCGCAGCTTCATTCCTTCCAGTTAAGAGGGAATTCTGACCTTTCACATCACCTCCCCCCCCCCACTCCCCACAACCCGCGAGAATAGGAGGGGTTCCCTTCCCCTCGCCGCCTGCTTTTCCACTGCTGGCAGCCGTCCCATTGCGCGCTCGCTCCCTAACCCCGGGATCGCGTTTCGTCTCTGGTCTCGGCAAGCGCCCGCCTGTTTTGCTCCGATGCTTGCTAAAGTGCCGCTCTTCATTGGGTCTCTGCCTCGCCCGTCTCTCTATAAAGCCTGCCTGCCTGCTTGCCTGGATCCGCGGTCATTCTGGGCTCTCTTTCCACCCGCTCTCGCCAGTGGACCGGATCGTGCGGTTTGGCCTTAGCATCCTTCCTTTATTTTCCAGGTAATCCGGGCTGGAGAAGGCTGGAGGAGTAGGAATAGGAGGGGAGGGGGCGGGTTTTTTTTTTTTCCTCCCGTTTCAGCATTTCCTGCCCGGCTCGAGGAGCCGGAGCGGGGACGCCGCTGCTTCTCACGGATGTGAACGCTGCTTGAAGTACAGAAGAAAAGGGGCGCGACGGTGATGATGGGCGGAGGGGGGGGGGACCGCCGGCCGCGTGGTCGCCCGCGCTTGGAAAAACGATTAATGTGTGCTTGGTCGGGGTGGTGGGTGGAGAGCCGCACGTTTCGTCTCGAGGTTGCAAGCGAAGCTCTCCTTTCTGAGGAGAGCTTGACCCGGATTCGTTTGCGACCTGCTGATAGGCGCGCCTGCGAATTGCTACCGAGGGTCTCAGGCGAGGCTGGAGGGGACGGGCAGCTTATCCCTTAACCGCTTCCCTTCGTCGCGGCTGGGGCTATGTAGGGGATATGGTCACCTTTGAGAGGTGGGTGGCAGCTCTGACCCTGCCTGCTGTTGGGGGCAGGGAAAAGTGGGGGGGGAATCGATCAAGATGCCTGCGGGGACCCTGTTTCGCTTCAACTCCGCCCCCGGAGCTCCCGCTCTGCCCCCACCCCCCTTCGCCGGGAAATAAAGGCGCCAAGTTCCATCCGGGAAAAGAATGGATAAAGCTGTATCTCTCTCCTGACCTGACCAGGATCCTGCTTACCATTACTTTGCCGTAGAAGGATCCCCAGTCCGAAACCATCTTCGTGGCTCTTTAAATTGGAGTAGCTGAGCGAGCCTCGCCGCACACTTCTGGATCGACCCTCTTTGGCCTTTGCTCGGACTGGAGCCCCACTCCTCCCGCGCACGAACAGGCTCGGAAAGAAAGATACGGGGAGAATCCACAGAAATACTGCTCCTTCCTCCTTGACTAAAAAGAGGAGCGCTGGGGAAACAGCAAAGAGCTAGATCTTAATTGGGTTTCTACATTGTTGTGGGTGCTCCATCACTGCAGGTTTTCAAGAAGAGATTGGTTCGAAATGGCATACGGTCTTCTGCTTGAACAAGAGGTTGGACTAGAAGACCTTCAAGGTCCCTTCCAACCCTGTTATTCTACATTCTAATTAAAAGCTGTGGTTTGCTTGGTCTTTGGCAAAGGAAGTGGCTACACACAAAGGCTTTACCCTCCATGTCAGGACTTCCCAGGCAGGATAATGGATTAGACTAAGCAAGGGGCTTCCAACCATTTCCCAGCCACCCAAACCTGTTAGTTCAAAACAAAACAAAATTCCAAGATCCACTATATGAGAGGCAAAGCCCCATGAACGAAAAATTTGGAATGAAATACAGTGTGCGTCTATTGTAATTTATTAATGCAGATATTAAACTTATTCAAATTTCACAGAAATAGATTCCTCAATTGCAACATGCTTGGCTTTTTCTGTTTTCACCAGTTTCTGCACTGTTTGTACCAGTCTATACTAACTACCCATATGTGGAAAAATACTCAAATTATATAAATACTTGTTAGGCCGAGTAAAAAAAAAATAGACATAATATTGTATATTTTGTGGGGATATAGCTCTTTGCGGGGGTGGGGTATGATAGTTTCATATGGTGAGACTGAACAGTTATCCAGGGAAATCACCATTTGGGGTGCCTGTTAGAACAGTGGTCCCCAACTTTTCCAGCTTGGCAGCCCCAAAAGAAGAAGAGGAGATGGTTCTGTGTAAGTAGTTGGCACGTGTGCACCCGAGTTCCATTTGTGAGTGCAGTGGGTACATGAGCCCGCTGCTCACACAAATGGAGCTTCACGTGTGGGTGCAAGCACCCACTGCTTGCATGGCCTACCACTCACGTGGACAGGTTCTGAACAGGTGGGCCACGGCCTGGGGGTTAGGGACTCCTGTCTTAGAATGAATGACTGAGGAATGCTGATGAGCTGATGTAGATAATAATGACATGCAGCATAACAATTGCAGAGAAAAATAACAGATTAGGATGGTGAAATTAAATTGGATTTTTTTTCCCCATTGTGCATGCCAGGCAAGAGCCACTTAAGCCTCTCCCTACCTCCTGCCTGCCTACTTTTGCAAATGCAATGCTAACACATGCTTACTCTGGAGAAAGTCTCATTCCAGAAGGATCTGAGGCACACATGCTCTGCAGCCAAGCTATGAAATCCTAAAGTTCTTTTTTTTTTTTATTCCAATACAGCTTATCCTTAAATAGGTGTGCAATGGATGCTGCCTTGAAGTCACAAACATACATACAGGTAGTGCTCAACTTACAACCGATCATTTAGTGACCATTTGAAATTATAACGGCACTGAAAAAAAGGCCTTATTTCACACTTAAGGCCATTGTAGCATCCCCATGGTCATGAGATTTCCATTCGGATGCTTGACAACTGACTCACATTTATAACAGTTGCAGAGTCCCGGAGTCATATGATCCTCTTTTGTGACCTTCTGACAAGCAGAGTCAGTGGGGAAACCAGGTTCGCTTAACAAGCGTGTGACTAATTTAATAACTGCAGTGATTCATTTAACAAATGTGGCAAAAAAAGTTGTAAAATGGAGCAAAACTCACTTAACACATTTCTCAATTAACAACATAAATTTTGGGCATGATTGTGATCGTAAGTTGAGGACTATCTGTATACACAAACATTAGTCTGCAATATAAAAGGTACATTTTCAGGAATGTACAGAACTTTTGGTTTTGACCTTTTTAAAATCATTCTGCCTCCCTTTAGTGCATGTTAGGACACAGTAACAATCACAAGGGGAAAAGCATTTTTGGCATTGAAGAGGGAAGGACTGCTAACCCTTCAAGGTTGTCCAAACAAGAAACCCTACGAGAAGTACTAGCTTTATCTTTATTGTAAGGTTACACTAACAGAATCTTGCAATCCTGAAAGTATTTTTCTCCCCACTTTTCTCTTTATTCTTGAGAACTCTAGGGAGGGTCACTGCTCAAACACTTCCCATTCTGGCTCAGCTTCTGTGGACAGAGGTATCTTTGGCATGGCAGTTTTCTAGACTGTGTCTCTTCTCCTACCCCCATCCCCCCAAGGTCATTCCCACGTACCATTATAGGGACTTGTTGAGGTAATTCCCCGTTAGGAGAATGAGCGCATACAGGGAGACGTATTTGAGAGAAGTGTTTGAATAATACACACACAGCACACAGATACACTGTACAGTAAATTTAGGTTTTTACTTCCAGAAACGTTAAGCAAAGTCCAAAATAAGCAATCCAAAGTCATTCACAGGTAAATCGGTCAGTTTTTCAATCCAGGGATAATCCAAATACCAAAGTCCAGTGTCAAAAAACAGTTCAGTATTAGGACTCATCTGGCTATCACTCTTGTGCTGCAGTCTAACTCCCCCAATGGATTTCCACTTCACTCTGGTTTCAACTGCCCTTTAGAAAACATGGCCGGGGGGGGGGGGGAATTGAGCATGTGACCGCTTAACTAACATAAAGTATGTTATAAATATTAAAGTTGCTGGATTACTTAGACAAAACCCTGCTTTAATCATTTCAGATTTCATGCTTGTAAACTCTGATCATTATGAAATAATAATTAAAAAAAGTTATGACAATATTAGCCAAGGATTTCAACAATAGCACTCCTGGTTGAAAGTTTTGTGAAGTTGGGATCTAGGAACAGAAGCTAGAAAATATGTGTGCCAAATCTTTATCCAGAGCAGGGAACACTTTGTTAGAAGTGCTATCCAAGTGTGAGTACTTTGTTTGATTAGATCAAAAAACGAGGACTTGAAATAGACTTCTATGCCCTTTCTAGGTTCCACTTTAGGATAAATGACAGTGCAGCTGGAAGGATCAAAGAATCGAAAGAACTGCCAGTGGATCGATGCTGAGCTCTTGAGCTACAATTGGCTGAATAGATTTGTTCTCACTCTATCCAAGGAGGTATAAAAGGGTGTGTGTGCTGTTCCACTATACTTTCGCTTGCTGTAATGGCCGCCTCTCTTCATATCACACACTGCTCTAACCAGAGGCTCTTGGTGATTAGTGACATTATTTCAAAATCCGTTTTTCCAGATATTTAATTATGGAAAATGGAACTATTTAATTTAGTTCCATCCAGATATATGGAACAAAAAATGGATGAAAAGTTAAAGTTAAGCATTCCAGGCTAAAATAAATGCAGTGGCTTGGGGTGGTAGCACTTTTTCCTGCATGCTAGTTCAGCTGCCCTTTGTCCTCAAAAAGGAAAGGAGGCTGTTGGAACAGATTAGACTGGAATTAAGATATTTTATTCTGGGACAAAAGTGAGACCAGCTCCTGCAATTCATATCACAAATAGACACGCCCAAGCTTTATTTAAATGATTGTGGTGCCCCTGTGTCCAAATTGTGTACAGGTGGCTACTTTAATTTTAATTATCAATGTGGTTATTACAGCTAGTCCTTAGGTTATGACAGCAGTTGGGGCCTCTAAGCCAATGTCATTAAGTGATGCAGTCATAAAGCATGCTATCACATGACCACATTATTTAGAGAGAGAACTCTCAGCAGTCTCGGTTACCATTTTAACCCTGGATCATGTGGGTCATTAAGTGAAGACCTCATAACCTCTGTGAGGGAGGAAACAGGCACAGAAGAGATTATCAATAGAAATCACTTGTTTCTTCCCCTCTGCAGAGTGGAGGAATTGAAGGGCATACAAGAGAATCAACAGGCACAGATTGCAAGAGAATGGAGAATACACTGGGCTGTTTGCATAGCTTGCTCACAATCCCAGCCTTGAGTGCCAGTGCACTGCTTTCAATGTATATTCCTAATTGTGTGCCTGCTTATTCTCTTGAAACCTTTTCCTCTCCAATGGATGTAAATAAAAACATTAATTCCCTTCTTGCCAATTATCCCAGCACCAAAGAGAGCATTTCAAAGGGTTGAGGGAGTGGGGAAAACGAAAACATAGTCATGGTCACAGGACATCTCACTTAGTGGCTGCTTTCTTTTTTTTTAATTTTGAAAAGCTTTTATTGAAATTAAAATATTAAAATACAAATATATCTATGAAAAGAAAATAAGTTGGTACAATTTACCATCGTTCTCTGACAGTACAAAAGACAAAGCTGCTGGTCCCAGTTGTGGTCACTAAATGAGGATTACCTGTATAACCAAATATTAGATTGATGGAATAGTTACTATTAGACTGAAAGATGTCAGCTTTCCAGTGGTTATTTAAATAAACTCAATGAATTGACATTTGGAAGCTCAAGTGTCTAATGAGCCTAATCTCTAGCAGTTGAACTACTCTATTTCTTAGTTTCCTAAGCAGAAAATGTAGGATACACAGGCTGCTATTTAATTATTGATTAAAATGTATTGTATGCATTACCTCAGTCTAGGTGCTAGGGGTATACATTACCAATTGAAAAGAGTAAGAGGATTTTGTTTGTCCCATGGACAGCTCTGGAAAGACTAGTATGATATAATATTGCAGAATGGCATATTGCTAGAACTGGAGAAAATGGCAGGTAAAAATGGAGTTGAAGTCTGCAATCTTGTTTATAGAAATTAATTCCAATTTTTGATTGGGTAAATGGATTGTGTTTTGTAAATAGATTTTAAGTTGTGAATTTCATTGGGGATACGCAGTTGGAAGTTTGGAACAGTTAAGCAGAACTGAATTTTTTTAACACAAAGGAAAACTGAAATTTACAAAACATTCATATTCATGCACAACATTAGATAGAAATGCTCTGGGAGCCATCAGATTCTTGCTGCATAAAGAAGCACATTTCCTTTATTAGTGGGGTCCTACTCGGACCTTCTCAGTAACTGCTGACAGCTTTGTTGCACCGAAAGCTGCACTTTGGGATGGTCATAATCACAGCATTTCCCAGTTTCTCTATTTGGAAGCATGCAGGAAGATACAGGTAGATACAAATCTTCAGACAAAAGACCTACAATTTCTTGACATTTGTGGCGGGGGAAACATGATTAATGCCATTTCTAGCATTTTGATGTGCAAAAGGCTACAAGAATTCAAAATGCCACAAGACCAATGCTTACATCATGGGTAGCAATAAATTTACCATATAATTTTTAAAAGTTTTGGAGTTTCAGGTACTTCAGTATTGACATTTTATTATACTATTGTTACTATAAATGACAATAATTGGTGCATCTTTCCGCCAATCCTTTTCAGTAGATCTATTAATCTGGCGAGGCCAGCTAGACCCACTGATGCAGTCAATAAGAGCCTTGCTTCAGAGCTTGCCAAAGAGACTAAGCATATGCTGAATTATCTAAGTTTAATTCTATCATTTACTTTGCTTATTCATGTTTTAATATATTGTTTTGATACAATGTTATTTATACAGCATTAATCAAAGTTTATTGATGCTTTATTGTTTATATAACTTAGACTATTGGAAATAAAGAAAAGAAGAGAAGTATTTTATCAATATTCATTATAATTTAGGATGTCAATATTATAAGCATAAGATTTTTTTAAATCCAAAACTGAATATACCATCAGGGGAATGTGTGTATTCCTGTGTCTATGAGTAAAGCATTCCAACAAAAGGATTTAAGCAAATCAAAATTAACAAGCCTTAAGATGCCAAAAAATAAAAGAAAGAAAGGGGAAAAAGTGTGGCTTGGAGTTCTCTCTTTTTATACTATACACCTGCTAATTTACATTGTAGAAATGTAGGCCCTCTTAGAAGCCAGATTGTAAGTGATGCTCATGATGTACTGTATACATGAGAACATTCTTGCTTAAATGATTTAGTATTCTTGCTTAAATCTTCATATAGTTGGAAATGTATCTTTCTTCCAATGTTGGGTAAAATTCATTCTTGTTGGTTTCTCTTCAGATCATATAAATCTTTTACCTTTTACTCTGATTTATTCTCATAGAAAAACTTCAATCTGTGAATTCCCAGAGAGCTGTCTAGCAAAACATCTCTGTCTGAATACACATAGCAAGTTATTCACCTGCCACTAAAAGTCCAAGCTAGCACAGAGCTCAATGCACATATTTGTTGGAATTTTTTCTAAGTATTCTGAGCCATCTTTCCATAAGTAATGAGCGTAGACATTACTTCTCCAATGCAATATTATTGCAATCCGTATCAAATCAGGTTTTTTCCTTGCTTGGTCTCATCATTTTTGCTTTTTGGGGTGTGTGTGTGTGTGTAATATTTTGTTGTACATCTGAACATTCTCAAACGTTGCATTGTTTTGGGGGGTGGGTAGTTGGAGCTTTAAATCTCTAGTTCTGTGAGAATTCCAAATGCTGTTCTGATATCTTTGTAAGAAGGCAAGGAAAATATGGATGTAACCAATTTTAAATGAGATCAACTGACCTTGAAAATGCTATCTCCAATATTTGTCCCTTGTTGTTTATACACATGGCAAACCCTTTTCCACAAGATCTATTTCAGCCTATTAGCCAGTCAGATCTCTTTGGTAGAATCTGGAGAGAAGTACAAAATGAGCAACAGAATGCATGCAGCATAACAATTGTTTTAAAGAAGCAGAAGATTAAACATGTCATTGTTTTCAAATGGAATAATTGGGCATGATTTCAAGATAACAGAAGAAAAATAGGTTATTTATATTTTCTGGCTAACTCACTCCAAATGATTCTGAACAGCTAAAATACAACAAAAGAAAGACAGATCATAAGCATGCAAAGGACAAAATAACAAAAGCATCCACAGGAGCCCAACCACCAAGGCCTATGAGAGCAACCAAGTTTTCACTGAAATTCACTGAACATCATTATGAGTGTCTAGAGGAATTAAATCAATCAATCAACCAATAAAGGTCAGAGTCCTATAGCTCTTGGGGAAACGCTGTTCTAGAGAGTAGCCATAGAAAACCCCAGAAAGCCAGATGTGCTCTTATTCAAGAGTTTGATGAGGGCAACTGTTTTGCCTAAGCAACTTCAAAGTCCCTTAAATTTAATTGTGTAAGGTTATGGATCAACATCCTCATCATTTAAAAAAGATTTGTGTCTGGATTTAGGGACGGGCTAAATATTTGCATCACAGGAAGTATAAAGAAATTTAATTTATTTCTTTTTTCCTTTGCAGTATCTTCATCTTGAACAATGGTAAGTTTTCATCGCATCTCTTCTTTTCCTGCCTTTCCTGGCTTGTGTGTGTGTGTGTGTTGCTATTTCATGCATGCGCACATATATATTCTCAAAAGACAGTATGTGTGCATATTTTTAAGAACCCCCAATATCCCACTTGAGATTATTTCTAGAGGGGATAGAAAACTGAAATGAAGTTTTGTTAACAAGTAGAAACTGATTTCTAATGGGTGGTGGCTGGTATCACCTTCCTTTTTGCACTGAAGATCTTTCTCCTCTTGAGTCCTCTATGGACCAGCACTGAGACAGGGGAAAACTCTCAAAATAAGTGTCTCTTTGTTCCTTGGATGGAATCTAAAGTGCATCTCTTTGCCTTTTTCTTGGCCTATTTCTCAATACTTTGACTGCAGTTGTCTCTGGACCAGATCCACACTGACCCACCCCAAACACCCAAGGAATTCGATTGGGCAGAACAGAGCTTTCTTCCACCATTGAGTCCACTGCGCAGTGCCCGGCACAGAGATACACTCCTGGATAGCAAAATTAGCCCTGAGGATGCACAGGCCAGGGCCTGGACAGCCTATTACTATGACTTGTTGCAATGCAGCTTACAGCAACAAGGGCTCCCAGAAACCATTGATCTCACCAAGGAGCCCCGATCAGGTGGGTGCCATGTTGTATTGGTCACATGTAGGATACATTTCAACCATGGTTGAGTGCATAATTATATTTCCTGTCACCTGATTTGCACGTATGTTTAAACCATAATGGCTTATCCTTACGTTTGCAATCAGGATGTAAAATGCAAATCTAAAAAAGATAAAAAGATTCCTTGAATGAAGCTGATGACTCATGAAGGTATTCATCTAGCTTTCTGGACAATGATAGTGAATTAAAAGAAAATCATTTACCAGAGTAGTCTATAAAATTGCCTGATAATCCTCTGTCCAAGTACTAACGAGGTTCAATGCGTTTAGTGCTTTTTTAAAAAAGTTCAACTCTGATGGGCTAGGTCTTGCCATTTACTGAAGAAAAATATACAGCATTCAGGCCTGAAAGCTGATGGAATGAATGGAATCAGAGGAAATATATAGGATAATCTGTCATCCCATGATGGAATAATCCTTGTATTTGAACAATTCATCCGCCTCTATACCTGTAAAAAAGACATTTCCAGAGATTCTGCCTTCAGAATTTAGGAGATGACTAGAATGCAAAGAAAGGGGGGGAAACCTGAGGCTTTGACGTAAATGGACCACTGATTTTGTTCTTGTCTTTTTAGGATTTGGACCCTCAGATATAACCATCTGTGTCTTGGGTTGCCCTGCTTCATATCTGTCAGTGCTTCTGGAAGGTGGCAACCAGTGTCCTGGTAAGTTCTTAGATTAGGTATTTTGCTTGACTTTAGCCTATTCTTAAGGTTTGCTCAGAAGTTCTGACCTGACCTGTATGCTCTTCCACTTGATAAATGATAATAAATTTGAAAACTCACTGTCATCAATTAATTCTCAAAATTTTGTTTCACCCCAAACATATTGTCAGAAATGAGCTCTGTTCAGGGCTCTTCAAGCTAGTGCCTTCCCATGTGCCAGAAGTGCCAGAGGATATATGCCACTTCCTTGTCAAGGATGCCTTTGAAAATCAGCTGTGATCTTCTAAGGTGATAAACAGTAGCATCTTCTTTATCATATGATAATTCCAATTCTGAAGATGCTAATCGTTTTTTTTTTCTTTTTCTGTTCAATCATGTCAGATCCTTGGAGACTGCCTGAAAAGAGAGGTTAAATGGAAGAGTTTTTGAACATCAGTGACAATTAAACTAGATATTGGAGATTTTGGAGAACCAGCTTTTTCTTCTCCCTCTATTTCCCCTTCAACACTTTTGGGGTCCATCAATTTGTCTTCTCCTTCCACGATAGTCCAAGCAGCATAACTAATGATCAGTGTTGAGGAGAGCTGTTATCCAATAATGATTGAGAGCTACAATTTCCCATTCTTTGCCTATGCAGTGACTTTTATCTCAGTGTTGTCAAACAGCCAACATTCCCCTTCATTTGAGTAAGGATTGTCTTTTTGAGTTGGGAGTTGGGAGGCAAACCAAAGACTCCCAACAAGGGAGTTGAGCTGCTTCCCAGGCAAAGAGAAATGAGCTGGCAACTCCCAAGACATTTTTGCTTGTTGATTTTTTTAATGTTGTCTTATCCCAACTTCCTTTCAAAAACAAACAAGCACATCCTTTCCAACAAACAAAATGCAAATATAAAACAAGCAGACACAAAGTAGGAAGCTATCTACACAAAGACCTATCTATACACCTTTAATTATAAATGTGTTGCTTATACCTTTGGGGAATTAAATGTTGGCAGCTTTAAAAATTAGCTTTCAGAATGCCTTCTGCATATAGCAATAGGTGTTGGATATAACAGGACAGGGCTTGTACTCTCCTTCAAAGTGTAGGATGACATTTTCCTACAATGTTTTCCCTTTCATAAACTTTTAAAGGCTGTCACCCAACTGAATAACCCATTGTAATAGAATGACTAGCTAAAACACATAATGACAATGTGCTAATCATATCCTGAGAGACTATTCTATTTTCCTTGTTCAATCTCACTAGGTTCAGTGGTGTCATGTGGGAAATATGTCAGAATAGCACATTACAGAAACAGGAAGGCAATTTGCTAGTTCCAGAGCCATTGTCAGAGCCAGCAATCAGAGTGCTGGTGGTACAGAATACATTTTTTACTATTTTGAATGGCCTGGGAACTGACAAACTGCCTTGCTGTTTTTTTGTTATGTTACTGGTTATTATGATGCAAATGTTGTATAGGCAATTCTATACGTTTTGGTTTATTTAATTTTTCACAACAGCCTTACTTTCTCAGAAATATTCACAGGGATGGATTTCCCGCCTTCTCATCTCTCCTAGGTAACATGCTGCTGTGCTTGTCACCAGCCTGGCTCTCCAAGGTTCCCTCAGAAACTCATCCTGGCGAGTCATCTTTATATGTGCTGAAGGCAGTGACATTTGAGCTTGGTGGCCGCACAATGCTGGAAGAATTTTCTTCCCCACGTCGGGTCAGCTACTTCACAGGGAGCTTTGGGCCCTGCAAGTTGCAGGGCCAGTCAGCAGCAGAATTGGCCCGAGATCTTGATTGCCCCACCGGAGGTTCGGGAGAGTTGACTCGCCTGCTAGAGGACAAGTTGCTGACCCGGCAGCTCATGGATCAGAAGGGAGAAGTAGCTGTGCCCCCCACCTTGGCCTTCACCTTCAAGCGCCCAATGCTCCTGCGCAATGAGACAGAAGAGCAACGCATCCACGTGGTTGAATTGGGTGGCCGGGAAGGACAAGACAACCTTCTGCAGGAGGAAATTACAGCCTTCTTGCAAGGTGGTGCAATGGAGTTGTACAAACAGGTAAGAGGTACTGAGCTGAACTGAACTGAGGGGCTGCCACAAAGAAGAGGGCGGCGTCCTGTTTTCCAAAGCACCAGAAGAGCAAGACAAGAAGCAATGGATAGAAACTAGTCAAGGAGAGAACCAGCCTAGAACTAAAGAGACATTTCTTGACAGAACAATTAACCAATGGAAGGGCTTGCCTTCAGAAGTTATGGGTGCTCCATCACTGGAGGCTTTTAAGAAGAAACAGGACAGTCATTTTTTTCTGAAATGGTATAACGCAGGGGTCCCCAACCACTGGTCCCCGGACCGGTACCGGTCCGTGGATCATTTTTTACCGGGCCGCAAAGCTTGGGCACCGCCATCTTATTTCGACAGCGCTTCTGGGTTTTTGGTTGCTTCCGGGTTTTTGGTTGGAAAGTGCTTCCGGTTTTTCAGTTGGAAAGCGGCGTTTGGGTGCTCGCCCCTTAGATTTGTCAAAGGGGGGGGGCGGCTTCGAACAAAGAGCCGTCCCGATAGTGGTGGAGTCTCACGTTACTCAGGTACCGGTCCGTGGAAGAATAAATAATCGTGAAACCGGTCCTTGGCTCAAAAAAGGTTGGGGGCCACCGGTATAACGTCTCCTGCAGTGGGTTGGACTAGAAGACCTCCAAGGTCCCTTCCAACGCTGTTATCCTCTTATTAGAAAGCAAGACAGATAGGAGGTAAAGCAAAGAGCACTGCAATTCTTTCCATCCAGATAATAACACAGCATGAGCATTGGAAATACAGAATTTTGGGGAAAGAGCTAGATGTTTAAGCTTTGCTGCTACAGGTATTCTACTTTCATAGGTGGTGGTGAAGCCCTCAGGCTGGCGCTGCAATGGAGCCCAAGCGGTATCATTTCATGACAAGTCAGAACATGGATGCATTCTGCAGGTGGTCCTTTCCTTGCTGGAGACTCTAGAGGAAGATGAGAGCATTTTGCTGGAGCCTTTCATCCCTACTGCTCACATCATCCAATCTGGGCCTTTAGTTACCAACAACTCTTCAGGTAAGGAATAGCTTTTGATTACTTCCCGTTATGTCACAAAGCTAATTATCTTCCAGCTCAGTGCCTGTAACATACAGGTAGTCCTCGACTTACAGTAGTTCACTTAGTGACCATCCGAAGTTACAATGGCACTGAAAAAAGTGACATGATCATTTTTCACAGTTATAACCATTGCAATCCTTGGTCACCTGATTTACATTTGGAAGCTTGACAACTGATTCACATTTATCGCGGTTGCTGTGTCCTGGGCCCATGTAACCATCTTATGCCACATTCTGACAAGCAAAGTCAATGGGGAAGCCAGATTCACTTAACAACCGTGTTACTAATTTAACAACTGCAGTGACTCACTTAACAACTGTGGCAAGAAAGGTCATAAAATGGGGCAAAACTCACTTGACAAATTTCTCACTTAGCAACATAGATTTTGGGCTCAATTGCGCTCATGCGTTGAGGATTACCTGTATAGCTTAATCTACCTTTCTACCTCCTATATATGCTGGAATACAACTCCCAGACTACCTATAGAAACAACTGGGAATTCTAGGATTTGTAAGTCTTTCTTATCTAAAGTTACCAGCACAATGAAGACTCAGTTATTCCATAAACGATTCTCTCTTCTACTTGCTTTACTTCATTTTGTTAGCATCTCTTGCATGTAGCAGGCCTTGAGCATTTTGGAAGAGAGGCTTTGTGGTGATGATTTGTAGTGTGGTAGGACCTGCACAGCACACAGTACTAGTAGCGATTGTAAGGTTCATAACTTCAGATCCACCATTCTCCAAAAATTACTTGACTGATAGCACTCCAGAGTAATATAAGCTTTTCACTGGGCCTACCTTGTCCTTTTCATTTTCTTCTATATATTCAGCTCCTATGAATTTGTCTTTCTGACACCTTCCATTTCTTTTTTCCTATTTCTCTTTCTTCTTTACATCTCCAGTTCCAGGCAACATATCTCTGCAGCGTAACCTGGCAATCCGAATATGTGCTATGGTATGCCGGTCCCGAAAAGACCAGCCTCTGCTAAGCAAGGTAAAGGGACCTCTGTGCCCAAATGAGATGAAAAGAAAACCAGGAACATATTATTGGTTAAAAAGAAAAAGAAGAAGAAGAAGCATACAGACAGCAGAAGAGCCATATGCAGTGCAAGAGATGATTAGCATATCCACACCAGTTTTGGCGTACCACTTTGTACTTTTCTACAGAATAGTATAAAAATCATTGAGCTTTCAATTATTGGTGCTTAAAAATGCAGCAAATCTTATATGTCAAAATAATGTCTCATTTTGAAATAAGCTAAGTTACATAATTAGTCATCAGATTGGCAATATTTACCCTCCTACTGGGCAGCAGGAGGGCAAATCTGATCTCATAAATCAAACAAAACTGGATATCTTTCTGTATTGTGTAGCAATAGTCATAATCCCACAAAGTGAACCCAACCCTTAAGAGTGTTTGAATGGAGATGTTAAGACAAATTGTCAACAATAGTTCAAAAAGGATCTGAAACCTTTTGATTCTTTTCAGGTAATATGTGGTGTAGGTCCAGCAAATAAGCCACTGAAGCACCAGACCACAGTGCCTCAGAGTCTGGAAAGCAGCCTACAGCACTGGGGACTAAAAGATGAGGTCCAAATTGCTGCAATCCACGCCCAGATTAAGAAAAAAGCAGAGACTGCCATGAAAGCCTTCATGGATATGGAGGCTAGTCTATCAGTCGAGCAGAAAGGTGGTCGCCGAGCACAAACTGACATTATTGGTAAGCTTGCAGCACCAGTCATTATATCTTATTGTTTATAAGATATTGTGGGGTATTGCGCTTGATTGCACAATGAAACTGGGGCTGTCAGAGCAGCTGAACTACCGTTTTAGCAAAGCATGGGGCAGTAGTGTGAAGTGGCTTTACTGATTATAGTAACAGGACCAAGTGGCATCCCAGAGCATTAGAGAAATTCCTTCCCAGGTTCCCTGTTCTAGAAATAGGCTTCAACAATGTCTATTTTTATGTTTATGTTAGCAGCTGCTTGCCTGACAGTAAGACTAACCAGCATGATAGTCTCTAATAAAAAAGAAAAGCATTGCATGGTATTTCCTTTACATTAAACCACCGCTGCCTGCCTTCCTGGAAGAGAGGCAAATTAAGGTCTTCAAACCACATAGCATTGATCTGGATTGGTTTATTTTTTGGAGCATGTCAATTGGTCCTAGCCTCTGAGGATATACTTGAGCAATAGGTTCTTGCGCTATTTTTCCCTTAAAAACAACCAAGAAAAACAACCAAACTAGGTTGCCACCAGTGAATTAAACTTGATAGCACCAGGTCACTTCATCTGAAATTCACAAGTCTGATTTTTCGTGCTAAATTATCTGTTTTCCATGTTACTACTATGTACTACTGAACAAACTTGTCCCAGCCTCCTTAAATATTATTGACTACAGCGTCTTTGCCTCACACAATCTCAACTACCGCTTGATAACAAAAATAGGGAAACAGAAACACACTTTTGCTTTGCTATTCTTTTCATTGTTCTTTTCCCCCCCAGTTGCATGACTAATGTGACTGTTTGTGGTGAAAGAGAATTAGTGATGAGAGGCTTGGAATGTGAGGCATTCCAAGGCATTTTTTGTTCATGTTAGAACTGTATATTGGGGTAGGAGTAGAATAGGCATGAAAGAAGTGAAAGAAGTGAAAATAAAAAATACTAGTGTTTTTTTTTACTATGATGATTATTAGTATTTTCAGATATTTTATAAAGTGGTGTTATTTGTTTAAACTTTGATATGGTTGTATTGTTATCTCTGTACCAAAAAAAAGTCAGAGTTCATTGTTGTTATATTAGTTTGATGCATAATTTTTCCTCGTTTTTAATTTGTTATGTTATTCCCCTTTCCTTTTCCTTTTATGCTAATTTGTATTTTAATATCTGATGTTGAAATGTAACCAAGATACTATTTAAAAAAGAAATGAAATTAAAGGTAGAATGATGTTCTGTGATGAATTGTTAGTGATCTCTGTGGGGCCAAGACGGGGGAATGCCCAGTTTTTCTTGTTCCATTAGCAGCTTTTAGTGCCATCAAGGTATCCTTCTGTGGGGATTAGGGGCGGGAGAAAATGGTTCCCCCACTTCTAAATGGTTCTCCTCCTTTCTCTGTGGTTGATTCCAGTTGGCAGTGAAGGGTGAGCAAGAGATCAGTCTCAAGATCATTGAAAGGTGGAGTGCTTCAAGTCTCAATGCTCTCACTCCCTTTTTAAATAGCTATATGAGGCTGCTTGGTGAGGTCATCCAATTTGTAGTTAGACTATATGCTAATGATACTTCCTTATATATCCTGATCCCAAGCTGACCAGGTGATTCTGAGATGTCTGAAAGGAACAGAAGCTAACCGTGATAAGAATGACTGGCTGTGGGTGTTTGGAATATTCGGGTCTTGAGATGGTCCATTTTTAATCCTAAATAGAGCTGTACTTCCCCCTTCAGACTACGGTATAATTTGAGGGTCTCCTTGCACTCATAACTTCTTGCTCTTAGAGCAGGTGGCAGCCATGATTAGGAATGCCTTTGCTCTAATTCATTTTGTGTGCCAGTTGATTTCATTCCTGAACTGGGAGACTCTAAGGATAGTTACCCATGCTTTGGTCACTGCATGTTTGGATTATTGCAATGCCCTATGCAGGAGGCTGCCCTTCTAGACCAATGAGAAGCTGCGGCTGGTTCAGACTGCAGCATGTTGGCCATTATGGACATGCCTTGGTGAGCTGCTTTAGTTTCCAGTATGCTTCCAGTAAGTCCCTCATGATATTATAAACCCTATCTGTCCCCCATATGATTAGGCAGACTCACCATGCTCTAGGTCCATTGATTAAACACTGTCACCTGACGGAGCCATCAAGCAAGCATTCTTTGTCTTAGTGCCTCTAGAGCATTGTTTCTCACCCTTGGAAACAGGAGTGGGTTTCTACCGGTTCCGTCCACCTCTGTAGAACCAGTAGCTCTGAAGAGCAGCAGACATAGTACCGGTTCTGTCTGATGTTTTTGCCCACCCGCTCATCCAGGCTCTTACCTGACCTTTATTTCCTGATTTTTCAACTTCAGCTGCCAAACGAGGCACAGCTGCAGTTAAAAAAACAAGAAAAGGGGGCTGTTTCAAAGGCTGCTTCTCAGCAGGCAGTGGGCAAGGAAGCTCGTAAATCCTAAACCGGTAGTTAACCCTGTCGTATCCCACCCCTGCTTGGAAACCTTAAGATATGTGGACTTCAACTTCCAGAATTCCCTCTCCAGCATTCTGCTGTACCAAAGAGATGCTTTTGTTTCTTTTCTCTTGTGTTTTGTACTAGATCTAGGATCAAAGGCCTCTGCGGCCTTTCTATGGGTGTTCAGCAAGGCCTTGTTACAAATGTCCTCTTTTTTTTTTCTTTTTTCTTTTGGCATCTTCTTTTCACAGGGGTGGATTTTCTTCTGAGCTCAAAGGACCAGGTGTTGCAATTGGTAGCCCTGGAGATGAACTCACAGCTGTGCCTGGAGACTTGCTCAGCCCTTGAATCCATGGGCCGGATGGTGGGGGCCACAGGAAGCGAGACGGCGCGCACCTTGGTGGAGACAATGCTGCACCGTGCACAATGCCACCTGATGGAGGGCAAGCATGTGCTAGTGATTGGGGCCGGCGGATTCAGCAAAAAGTTCGTCTGGGAGGCTGCCAGGGACTACGGGCTAAAAGTAAGATGCGGAAACACAGACCTGTGCAGCCCTTCCAAGCTGCAGGATGGACTAGCTAGAGCAGCACCACCCCAGAGCCCCTGTCCGTATCCCATCAATGTCATGGGCATCACCTAAACAGAGAGGGGAGTAAACCACAGACCCACGTTACCCACCAGAAGGGCTTCCTCATTTCACTTTTGCCCGTAAAGCTGAGGAGTTGGCCTGCCCCATTTCCAGCCTTGCCACCTCTCAGGAGTACTTCAAGTGGGGCATTGGAGGGCCCAACCCAGAAGCAAGGTCCTGTTGGAAGAGTCACTGGGGATGGAAACAAGTTCTGCGGACTTCAGAGCTCCTTCCACCATTTCCTGTCTCCATGTAATAATGTTAGGATGCAGATATGGGGCAGGACAGATGAGCTAGCTGTGGAGATTGTGGATCCCCCCTTTTCTCAAGGACTCTCCATTCCCGTTGTTATTTTGGCATTGTTCCTAGTCTTCACTAGCAGCATAAGAGGCAAAACCTGAAACTTTCTTTCATCACTGAGAATTCCCAGAACCACAGGCAGGCCTGCCCCCATCCTTCTAAATATCTTTTCCCTGATTTTTCCACATTCAGGATATAAGTATTGTTCCCTACAGTCTTATCAGAGACTGGTGTCTTCCACCTGTAGAAGAGGTAGAAAGGCAGTGCAGTACTGTTACTGTGCCAAGAAGAAGCCATCTTGGGTTTGCTAGTCTCAAAGCTCTTCTTTCCGAGACCTACTTACCACTCGTGCAACTAACAGCCTGATTAGAACCAGAAAGAAGGTCCCTCCAAATGAGTTGGATGTGGTATCGAAATTAGATGAGGGGATGCATATAATAGGTCGGGGTGGGAAGAGGACTGGAATGAAACGAAAACTAACGGCAAGAGTAGAAGGATGCAGACAACTCAGCCAGAGCCAGATTTAGCCTCCGAAAGCTCATTCCATTGTCCCTGAAGGTTTCAAGTGCTTCAATGTCAGCTTATTCCTCTGCGACTGAAGGATGAGTTTGCCCCTCTTGGAGCCTTGATCCATTCTCCAGTTCAGACCCTGAATTGAGCACAATGGCTACATGTGCCACAGTCTTATATCCACCCCTGCAGCCTTCAAAGTGGGGACAGTCAATACCTTATGCTTTATCCAAGTCCCACCTGGGAAGATGGCTTGGCTCTGAAGTTCTCCAGAGGCTTCACAGCCTCCGTGTCCCTGGACTTCACTGCTAAAAAGGCCCTGCAGTGAAAGAGATAGTGTTGGCCCATTCCCCACGCCCTTGCTCTTAACTCATAAAACCCAACTCTGACACTTCCCTGATCTAACCAGAGTCTAGCTAAAGAGTGGAAAACGAAAATGTGATTCCCTTGTTCACACAGCCCTTCCCATGCAAGCAACAGGGTCATCTTTGATTTCTCAAGACTGCGAAGGCTTTTTAGCCAGCCTGCCTACCAACATGGCTATTGCCTCAGCATTAATGCCTCCTCCTCCTCCTCCCAAACCTAGAGGACAATGGAGCTCTTCCTTCTAAGCCCTGCTGCTGCAGAAACGGGGATCTAGAGAAAGCTCAGAAAGCTCAACCAGCTTGATGGAATGAATGGTCAGTGGATTGGGGGAAGCCTCTGCCTATTGAATAGTGCCTTCTTCTAAAGGGACTCCTGTATTGTCCCTGACCCCAAGGAGTTGGCCTTCTCTGATATTGTCTGTAGTGATGCATCTCTGATTTTTTCCCCCTCCTTCTCTGCATCTCTGCCTTCCCCTCTTCCCCACCCTGTTCCCGCTCCCCTTTCCTTCTCTTTCTCTCTCCTCTTTCCCATCCCCAGATCCACCTGGTGGAGACCGATCCCAACCATTTTGCCTCCCAGCTGGTGCACACCTTCATCCACTATGACACCACAGACCACACCAGGGATGAAGAGCATGCCCGGAAACTGCTGGGGCTTATTCAGGAGAGGGGGCTGCGTCTGGATGGCTGCCTGTCCTACTGGGATGACTGTATGGTCTTGACAGCGCTGATATGTGAAGGGCTGGGTCTGCGCTGCAGCTCCTCCATGGCCATGCGGGTGGCCAAGCAGAAAAGCCGCACTCACCAGCACTTGTTGCGGAGGTGCAAGGAGGGGTCCCGCTGGTCCTCCGCAGCACTCTATGCTGTGCCATGCTGCCACCTGGAGAGCCACGCTGATGTGGAGCGAGCTGCCGGCCACATCAATTTCCCAGGTGTCATGAAGCTCGAGTATGGGGCCGGGGCGGTAGGGGTGAAGCTGGTAGAAGATGCCCAGCAATGTCACCTGCACTTTGACAAGATCACACAAGACCTGAAGGACGACTCCGATTATTTCGGCATTGGGTTGGGTTGGGGCAATAACATGCTATTGATGGAGTATGTCTCAGGCACTGAGCATGACGTGGATCTGGTGATATATGAGGGACGGATGCTGGGGGCGTTTGTGTCTGATAATGGGCCCACCAGGGTGCCCAACTTTACAGAGACGGCAGCTTGCATGCCCACTTGCCTGCCCCCCGAGAGTGAATCACAACTTATCCACGCTGCTTATCAATGCTGCCTGGGTTGTGGTCTCACTGATGGTGTCTTCAATGTGGAGCTCAAGTTGACAGCTGCCGGCCCCAAACTTATTGAAATCAATCCTCGCATGGGTGGCTTCTACCTCCGCGATTGGATTCGGGAGATCTATGGAGTAGACATCATGCTAGCTTCTGTCATGGTTGCCTGTGGAGTGGCCCCAGTCCTGCCCACCCCCTCCCGTCCCCGTACAAACCTAGTGGGGGTGATGTGCTTAGTGTCACAGCATCTCCAGGCTCTCAAGTCCACAGCTAGCCTAGAGATACTTCAGGCCCTACATGAGCGTGGTGTCATCCGCCTCAACCTGCTTGATGATGAGATCGTGTCTAAAGAATATGAGGAGCCTTATTGCAACGTGGCTTGTGCCAGTTCTAGTCGCCAGGAGGCCTGTGTCAAGCTACTAGGCATCTGCCAGGTGCTGGGCATTGACTCCCTGCATTACCCTGTGGCTTACTTCCTCTCTCACTTCAAATAGCCTTGGAGATTCAGCTCCCTCAGGTTGGAGCTGAACTTGCATGTGTGTGAGAAAGAGAGTGTGTGGGTGGGGGTGGGAGAGAGACTTGTCTATTCCTTCTAAATTACCCCTTCCTTTTTCCTAAGTTTTCACCACTGGAGTTTGCGTGACACAAATTTCCTACTTACTATTCTTTTTTGGAGCCATCTCTGGGAAGTGCTCACACCTAGAAAGAGCTCACTTCTTTTAGGAAAGGATTCTAATAACTTTGAAATCCTACCCTTCTACCCTCTGTGTGAGGATATTTTCTATTTGATTTGTGTTTCTGATTAATTTTCTGGGTCCCAGCCCCTGGTTTTTAAATTACTCATGCACCAGACCATAGATAATGCAAAATTCCAGGCTCTTCACTTTCTCTTTTTTATACAGAAAAAGGGGAAGTTCCTTTAAGATAGCCCTGGAGAGAGAGCCGTTTGCATACTTCCAGAATCAATGGAAGAAGAAGCTTGGGTCCAAATTTTAAAGCAGGGGTGTCAAACTGGCGGCCCATGGGTCAAATGCGTCACATGCAGGCCACGCCCACTCTGGCTCCGCAAAAGCAGAAAACATTGCAATATGTCGCGATACGTCATGTGACGCGAGTTTGACTCCCGTGCTTTAGAGTCCATACCGTCCAGCATATTTCAACAGCAATATACTTCAATAAATGAGCAAGAGTATTTCTGAAAGCACAGTTTTTCCTGAAAGGAGCCATTGTATGCAAACTCCATCCAGATACTGGTGAGCATCTAAACACCAAATCAACCCACTTTTAAAAAAGGACCATTTGCAAACATACCTTAACAGATGTTTAGCAATAGTATGTAAGATTCAACAAAATCCACTGGCTAAAACTTGTAAACCTTGCAAATAATAGTTTAGTGCCTTCTGATCCTTTTTAGCAGCTAACAAGGACAATTCTAGAATCAAACAACCATAAAATAATGAGGGCAACAGAACATCCTGTGAGATATATATATATATATAATTATATATTATATATATAATATTATATAATTTGTGCTTGTAAGAGTAACATCTAGAAATTTCTCCTTACCTCTGTAATGTGCCAAGAATTCCACAAAAGAATATGACTAACAATATTTCCAAGCACATGACAATATTATAACATTTTCCAGTGAACGATTGCACCCCTAACTTCAAATAATCTACCTTCCAATGGAACTCCAATGTCCTTAAGGTCCTACAATACCAAGCAGCCATAATGCTAGCATTACAGAGTTTCTGCAGTAACAAGCCACAATTTTGCTACCAATCTGAATTTGAACACTATGCTTTTGTGCATAGTCCAAACATCCCAAAATATGTAATACTCCTTTAATACATTAATAATACACTTTAGCATACTTCTAACCAGCATAAAAAGCAATGTGAAAAAAAGTGTAAATCTGCAACTGAAAAGTATTTCTGTCTTTTTCATGGGTTTTTTACCATGTTCACGACAAATAGAAACTCAGTTGGCAACTGATTTGCCTGAGAAAATATTGAGAACTTGTGAGATTTAAATAACTAAAGAATTGGGAACTGGGAGCTTTAAGGTAGTCAGAGTTGGTTATCAGTGGGAGCATTAGTTAAGCATGTCCTCTTAACTGGTTGGTGACTACCTGCCTATTTTCCCATAACTTCTGTAATCAAGCAGGTATAATAGTTCCTCCCCAATAAAATGCCATGCAAAAATATCAAGACTCTTGAAGTGTTCTTTACAGCTGCACCACAGCTCATTCCCCGTTTAGGAGTGGACACATAATGGTGGTGAAAGAGGACTTCAATGATACAGAGATGACTCTTATGGTCTTATTAGTTTCAATGCGACTTCCAGGTGATCTGTTTCCATAAACAAGAATATTCCAGATTTTGGATTCACCATCTACGAAAATCTGACATTGACTCCCAAGTCTTCATATCATTTGTTCTCCACTGCCTTTAGCACTGACTTGTATAGGAAATTTGATCTTGACTGGATTTTATCTCCTTCCCTCAGTCCACAAACAGGAAAACAATTCTCCCTTTTGGAAACTTTTCTCACCTGTTCTACATGTTCAGGAGATGCATCTGTTTCAACTACTCTTTTCATTCTTCCGAGGTTGGTAAAATGAGGACCCAGGTTGTTGGGGGTAATATGCTGACTGTAAACTGCTTAGAGAGGGCTGCAAAGCACTGTGAAGTGGTATATAGGTCTAAGTGCTGTTGCTATTCTGTAAGAAGCTAAAGCAAACAGAAAAACTCATTTACAAGCATCAATCTCAATTCTGAACTACATAGACCTTAAGATTCCACCTGTTCAATTTTGGACGAGATATGACATTTTCAAGACTTACCATCTGAAACAAGCTTCGTTCACAGGATCTATGCTATGTTTCTTGGTTCTACCAGAGTGTTTTTTAATTCTGAAGATACAAATTGCATCATGAGGTAAATCAGGTTATGTGACAAGAACGTATGGGGCAGATCGAAAGAAATTCGGGAAACAATTTGCATCAAGTTTTGTTCAAGGACCCACTCCATGTTGCCAGGGATTTGCAACGTTTTGTTAGGTTGCTAGGTAGTATGAGAAAAACGCTTGAGCAATGAATTGTTGGAAGGCAATAGAATGGCAGCCTTAAACCAGAAAGGAGTATGTTGGCAGTGGAAATGGCTGTGGAGGAAAAAAGTAAGAGCCAAGCAATTTCTGTTTATTCATGGAAAATGTTGAACTCTACATCCTCAGTAATTTCCTCCAGAAATCTTTGGAAATTTAAACTGCATGGGGTCTTAAAGTACTCTTTCCAGAATGTCAGTCATTCGTTGTTTGTTGAGATGGTGGACAGAAACAGTATTTACAATCTGAATGTCAAAATTTAACATGCTCTATCTTCCCCTATTCTTTAGATGCCATGGACAGCTATTCTGTATGGAGTCAAACCCTCTCCTATCTCATCGTTGCTACACCAACTGGAATTACTTTGGGTTTCAGAAAACATTCTGTTTCTGCACTGCTGGGAGATGTCAGGGATTAAAATAGGAATCTTATGCATGCAAAGAAGATACACAAAGTCAAAATCATAGTCCTTTCCCAGATAGCATTTTCAGTTGCAAAATATGGATCTGGCTCTATGAGTTCAGGGATGGTGAAATTAAATTCTCTCCATTCAGAGTTTGAAATCATATCTAAGAGAAAATTTAAACTTTCCTGGGGAGTTTTACTGCTCTAGGAAACTAAGCAAAATGCTAAGTCAAAGCTTCTTGGTGGCTTTGCAAAAAGCTTCAGTAGCATTAATAAGAGCACTAACGTCTCTGAAAGACCATCAGTGGCCTCCTCTGCCTACCAGGAAACCAAAAATAAAATAGTTCATGAGAGCAAGCTTTAAGAATTATGGTATCAATTGAAGTAAAAAAAAAACACCACCCTCTATGGATCAAAAAAGATTAGCTGGGAACTAATTATTCTAACATAGAATAACAAGACTGAAGGGGCATTGAAGGTCTTCTTGTCCAACCCCCTGCCTCAGCAGGAGACTTTATACCATTCCAGACAAATGGCTGTTCAAAATCTTCTTGAAAATGTCCAGTGCTGGAGCACCCGCAATTTCCGGCGATAAGCCATTCTACTGATTAATTGTTCTGTTAGGAAATTTCTCCTCAGTTCTAGGTTGTATCTCTCTTTAATGATGTTTCACCCATTACTTCTTGTCCTTCCCTCAGATATTTTGAAGAATAGGTCAACCCTCTCTTCTCCGTGAGAGCTGTTCAAGTACCAGAAGACCCACTATCATGTTACCACTAGTCTTTTGCTTCATTAGACTATTCTGTCAACCATTCATCATACAGTTTAGCCTTCAGCCCCTTATTATCTTTGTTCCTCCTGTCTGTACTCTCTAAACTTTCAGCATCTTTGTATCACAATTACCAGAACTGGATACGGTATTCCAGGTGTAGTCTCATCAGGACAGTATAAAGCGGCACTATCACTTCTTGTGATCTTGATACTATCCCTCTGGTGATGAAGCCTAGGAAACATTCTGAATAAATAGTTATTCTTGGTTCATAATTTGGAAGCGCCCAAGCAATGATCATTTGGTAAACTGAAGCCTGAAGAAATACAGAATTCTTTCTGTAAGAGATACTAGGCTAGGATTTTTCAAACTGGGTTCTATGATACCAGAGGTTGGAACCTGATCTTGACTAAAGGCAATCCCATCTCCTTTCTCTGTAGTGGATTAAGAAGAAGAAAAATTTTCTTTAAAATGCAATAGAAAGGGTGGGGCTTGTCTGGTGACATTCAGAAGGGCCACATATTTCGGTCAGAAGTTCTGGAATGGCAGTTTTTGTTTACTTATGTCACAAACGAGCATTAAGGCTTGGTGGAGGGAAACTCTTATCCAGATTATCTCTAAAAAAATAAGACCGTATTACAAAATCTGTGATTGCAAGACACACTAACTAAAGAGTAAGTTATTTTAAATTCAAGAAGAATTTGGTCTTTTCAGAGTTAGCAATTTCAAGCATTATCCCATCAGCTGTAACTATAGTTTGGGTCATTTTCTGTTTGATGAGGTAAAGTAATATACACTGCTCAAAAAAAATAAAGGGAACACTTAAACAACACAATGTAACTCCAAGTCAATCACACTTCTGTGAAATCAAACTGTCCATTTAGGTAGCAACACTGATTGACAATCAATTTCACATGCTGTTGTGCAAATGGAATAGACAACAGGTGGAAAGCATAGGCAGTTAGCCAGACATCCCCAATAAGTGCTCTGTGGTCATCACCTGCAGAACCACTCCTTTATTCACTTCTTTATTCACTTCACTTCTCATGCTTTCTGGCTGATGGTTTGGTCACTTTTGAATGCTGGCGGTGCTTTCACTCTAGTGGTAGCATGAGACGGAGTCTTCAACCCACACAAGTGGCTCAGGTAGTGCAGCTCATCCAGGATGGCACATCAATGCGAGTTGTGGCAAGAAGGTTTGCTGTGTCTGTCAGCGTAGTGTCCAGAGCTTGGAGGCGCTACCAGGAGACAGGCTAGTACATCAGGAAAGGTGGAGGAGGTCGTAGAAGGGCAACAACCCAGCATCAGGACTGCTACCTCCGCCTTTGTGCAAGGAGGGACAGGAGGAGCACTGCCAGAGCCCTGCAAAATGACCTCCAGCGGGCCACAAATGTGCATGTGGCTGCTCAAACAGTCAGAAACAGACACCATGAGGGTGGTATGAGGGCCCGACATCCACAGGTGGGGGTTGTGCTTACAGCCCAGCACCGTGCAGGATGTTTGGCATTTGCCAGGGAACACCAAGATTGGCAAATTTGCCACTGGTGCCCTGTGCTCTTAACAGATGAAAGCAGGTTCACACTGAACACATGTGACAGACGTGACAGAGTCTGGAAACGCTGTGGAGAACGTCCTGCTGCCTGCAACATCCTCCAGCATGACTGGTTTGGCAGTGGGTCAGTAATGGTGTGGGGTGGCACTTCTTTAGGGGACCGCACATGCCTCCATGTGCTCACCAGAGGTAGCCTGACTGCCATTAGGTACCGAGATGAGATCCTCAGACCCCTTGTGAGACCATATGCTGTTGCGGTTGGCCCTGGGTTCCTCCTAATGCAAGACAATGCTAGACCTCATGTGGCTGGAGTGTGTCAGCAATTCCTGCAAGATGAAGGCATTGATGCTATGGACTGGCCTGCCCGTTCCCCAGACCTGAATCCAATTGAGCACATCTGGGACATCATGTCTCGCTCCATCCACCAACGCCACATTGCACCACAGACTGTCCAGGAGTTGGGGGATGCTTTAGTCCAGGAGTGGGAGGAGATCCCTCAGGAGACCATCTGCCACCTCACCAGGAGCATGCCCAGGCATTGTAGGGAGGTCATACAGGCACGTGGAGGCCACACACATTACTGAGCCTCATTTTGACTTGTTTTAAGGATATTACATCAAAGTTGGATCAGCCTGTAGTGTTTTTTTCCACTTTAATTTTGAGTGTAACTCCAAATCCAGACCTCCATGGGTTGCTAAATTTGATTTCTATTGATAATTTTTGTGTGAGTTTGTTGTTAGCACATTCAACTATGTAATGAACAAAGTATTTAATAAGAATATTTCATTCATTCAGATCTAGGATGTCTTATTTTTGTGTTCCCTTTATTTTTTGAGCAGTGTCATTAGAAAGGGGAAATTCATAAGCATGTCATATGAAAACATTTCCTCATATTTTAATCAAATTCTAAATGTGTACAAATATGCATAAATGCATATAAATGCACTTACAAACTTTAAAAAGTATTTTATGACACTGGAAAAAGATGCTAAGGATCCTGTGATAGTTTTTCCCTTCAAAATGTTACAGTACTGAGCATACCAAAGCCATGCCATTTCAAAAAAACTAGGAGCATAATCTATCTAGTGAAGAAGACCATATTATATTACACCACACACCACCAAAATGGCCATACACCATTTTTTTAAAGTAGGATTTTGTTTAGCCTGAGAAAAGGAAAGCAGAATTGAGACGAAATAAGAAAATAAAGTCTGAGTCATAGCGCCATATGTGTCCTGTAAAAGCTCCTGAATAAAGCATGACTATTCTGGAAAATAACATTTGTTATAAAAGCACTCTTAAATAAACAAACAAAAAATAGTAAAAAGGGCTCATGAAAAAGTTTTTCAGGCTTATTTTAACCTACCTATTCATTTCTTGATATTATTTAAATTGAGAGGAAAAGAAAATTTCTTCTACTACTACTACTATGTAACTTAAGTGAATATCACAATGTAATCAACAGAATTCAGGTTCAATTCTGTTTCTTCCCTATTTCTAAACTCCATGTTTAGCCACCACAACTGGTTCTGGTAACTCATTTATGCAATGAAGCAATTGCTAAGTGTAAATCATGTGACCATGACTGTGTTTACAATTTTACTTCTGTTGGAATTCATTGTTGGAATGTATTTTTATGCAACAACTACAGTAATATTTAGCCAATAGATGGCAGTGTTTACAAGTTTAGATCTATGGTATATACCCTATGACAGGGGTGTCAAATTCACGTTGTCACGGCGTCATGTGACATATCGGGACTTTTCCCCCCTTCGCTTAGCTGGACTTGGGCATGGCCAGTGCGTGATGCATCCAGCTCATGGGCTGGGAGTTTGACAGCCCTGCTCTATTTTGTTTAGTCCTAAGGAGAGTTTTGTGTTTCCTGTTACAATTAAAAATAGTTAAGCAGTAAAGCACATGGTGATTGTACTCTTTGTTTGCTCTATGATACTATATACAAACAGAATTTGTAATAACTTCAGCTTTCCTTTGCTTCTTGCTTCTTCCTTCAGCTCAACTGGGGTTCTTTCTCTTGATCTTTGAGGATATCTTGGTGTGGGGCAAATAAGCAAGTGAAAATAAGAGCCATATTAACTCATTGTAATGACAGTCACTGTCAAAAGCTGTTACTAAAAAGGACTATCTGTAGCATAATATTGCAAGGTAAAAACATCCCCTCTTGTTGAAATAACAATTTGGTTCAGGATTTGCATTGATTTGCTCAAACATCTGCATTTATTTAAAGAATAAAATCCATGGGAGTCAACATTTATCTTATGCTTTTTCTACTGACATCCCCATTCCCAAGTTCTATTGCTTTTCACCATCCCTGATTTTTATTAATTCAGTCATCAGAAATGTTGTTGTTGTTGTATTACTCTAAATGTAGTTACCAAAAGGGAAGAGAGGAATTAAAGGGCAAAGCTACAGCTGTGAGGCCAGGGAGGCAGCGGCAATGGTGGGATTCAATTATTTTTACTACCGGTTCTGTGGGCGGGGCTTGGTGGGCGTGGCAGGGGAAGGATACTGTAAAATCTCCAGCCAGAGGTGTTATTTGCTGGTTCTCTGACCTACTCAAAATTTCTGCTGCCAGTTTTCCAGAACTAGTCAGAACCTGCTGAATACCACCTCTAGGCAGCCGGATGAAAATGATTCAGAAACAGAGCTTCAGATTACTCATACCTCTTTTGTGGCTCAGGTAAATTTGACAATCAACTATACTTCTGATCTAAACATCAGTTTTAAGAATTCTATCTCTTATTATAATATCTGTAATGGTCATTATGTGACCCTATTAGGATTACAGATTCTCCTCATAGGAATTAGAACTGGAATTTCCATTACTAAGCAAAGCATTTGTAAAGTGTGACCATATTGCTTACTGATGGCAGTGTCAGCACTTCCCATTATGTGAGGATTGCAGGCCATTAAACAAGGACCTCCTCGACTTCCAGCCAACTTCTGACAAGCAAAGTCAATGGGGAAGCTAGCAGGAAGTTGCAAGCCCTAGGCAGCTTGCAAACAAGCTGGAAGACAAATAAATGGTTACCGCTGGGTTATATGCAGGTGGCCAGTGCAGTGTGAGTGCAGTGGGGCTGGAAATGAATGCTGCTGGATGAGGGAGGTTGTGCAGGGAAAAAAAGTTGCTATACATCATGTGACAATGTTCCATCATGAGTTTGACACCCCTGAAATAGATGGATCTGTGATCTTGTTAGAAATGCTCCAATAGAAGCTTTCTTGCAAGGAATGAGTGTTGGATGGAAGGTGAAAATGGCTGTGTACGTGTACATTCTCCTGCTGTTTTTGTGTATAGGAGTGAGAGCTGGGTGTCAGAAGAAGCATGAAACACAGAGGAATGAGAAGTGTGCACAATAAAGCAAGAAAAAGAAGGAGTAATGAGTGAGTGTGGATTGAATACCAAAGTCAGTGACCAGTCATTTAAGATTGTTTGGATATGCAGTATGAACAAGGGCAGACTCACAGCACAAATATATGAAAAAAATGGGTCTAAAGCAGTTTTTTTTTTCAAATGTGGCAGCTTTTAAGATGTGGCTGGAGAATTCTGGGCATTAAAATCCACATATCTTAAAGTTGACACATTTTGAAAAAATATTGCTCTAGAGGAAAGGGAAATTTGAGGAAGTTATGGCTGGATGGAAACTTGCCTACATATATTACACACATATATAAAAGGTAAAGGAGTCCTGTGGATTTTACTTTGCTAGTCATTCCCAACTATATGGGGTGACACACACACACACACAGTTGGTTCAGTTGGTTGGGTTGAACCATGGAATGAATTAATGAATATTTGTTATAATATTGTGTGAAATCCCATATAGTCGGCAACTAAAAGCACACACACGCACACAAAATTATTTCATTAATTCATTCCATTTCTATAGCCACCCGGCTGAACCAACTGACTCTTGCATATACAACCCTGTCTCTCCGTTTGCAGCGAAGGCGCATCCCGGCCAACCTGTTCTACGCTAATTATGCGACTCCACCTGAAGCATCATTTTAGCCGCAAGGTCAGCCTTGCTTTTCTGCCCTCCTCTCCTATCAGGCACGACCGCCAGAGGTCGCCCGTGAGCCCAAGTACACCGCGTTCTGGCCCTCGCCCGCTGCGCCAAAACGACGGTCCCGCCCGAGACAGGCGACGACAGTAGTTGCATCGCTGGGCGGGGTAAAGGCGGTGACGAAAGGCAAAGGGGCGTGGCCCGGAAATCCACGGGGCACTTGGGGAGCCCCCGGTATGGCCGGCGTCTTCGACATCGACCTGGAAACGGAGGAAGGGAGCGACGGGGAGGAGCCTGAACTGGGGGCCTTGGTGAGGCGGGATGGAAGATGATAGAGGGAAAAGGGGTGGGTCCAGCCAGAGGAGAAGGGGAAAAGGGCGCAAGAGCCCCGCGCAGAGTTCCTAATGACTTCAGTGGGGGTTGCTCCCGAGTGGGACAGGGTTGGTGTGGGCAGACCTCGTTTATCCCCTGCGTTGCTGCTGCTGCTGCTGCTGATCATCTGCTCTGTGTCTCTCTCCACCCTGCTTGTCTCTTTTAGGAAGTGGACCCCGATTTTCGCAGCAGTAGCTCGGAGTAAGTACTTTGCCAGCTCTAGGTTGTTTTGCTCCTTGGCCTCATCCCAGTCTGCCATTGGGCGGAATTCTCCTGGGTTTCTTAGGTGATGGATGCACTCACACACTTTTGGAAAAATAGATTGGCAAGAAAGGGTCCCTCCCCGGCTCAGTATGGTGTCAGCAGCTACTTCTTCCATTCTTTTAAAATGGCTTCTTCTAACTTGCTCACTCTGTGGGCAAGGCAACAATTCCCATCATCCCCATACAGAATACTGTAGGGCTGGAGACAATGGGACCTGTCCTTGATTAGAGAGAATCCACTGGGGAAAGACTGCAGCATGCAAATTGTGTCAACCTAACATGTGATGAGATTTCTAGGTGCTGCATAAGCAAAGTGACAGGTCAGCCTTTTCAGAGCAGAGATGTAAACATTTCAAGGGGACATGAAATGTCCTTGTTTCACTACAAATAGCTGATCCCTGATGACAGTGATTAAGTCTATTCCTTTGCTTCCCTGACTGAAAATTATCAGAACGAAACAAAGTGGCGTAACTGCCTTGTTGACTCAGAAACTGAGATCTCACTAATTCAGCATTTAGTTCCTAAAACGGTCATCTAGTTCAGAGGCTGTGGAGAGATACTCGGATCACAGCATGATGGTGATGGTGTAAGTGTTTTTGCATTTACAGTGGATTTCTAGCTGTTTCAACAAATGCTATTCCTAGAAGCTGACTTTATTGTGCATTTGTCCTTTTGGCATCTGAACCAATCATCATCAACGTTGTAGGGTAGAGAACTGAAAGTTCATCACTGTGCTAAAAGCAACATTTGGAAAGTCAGTCTACTCACTGATGCAAGAATGTCTACCAGTGTTATAAAATGGTGAATGTAGGCAAAGGTGGCTTAATTTTAATGAAAAACACTCTCGTGCAAATTGAGGCATCCAGTTTCCACTTAAGCACCTGGAAAGCCAGTTTTGTGTAGTGATTAAAGAAACTGGGAGAGTTGAGTTCTACTCCTCCATCGCCCTTTCAGCCCAAATCACTTCATGGGGTAGTTGCAGTGGGGGAAACGGGAAGCAGGAATACTATATATCCTGCCTTCACTTGTACAGGCAAAGGTGGAATATAAATCTAATAGTGAAATTAATAAAATTAAAATATTTTCTCTGAAGTTGCTCCTGGACTGAACTGTGGTAGAGGGTTGAAATGGGTAGAGTAGATTCCAATGCCCTTTAACATATACGAAGCACTGTGTGTTAAAGAAAAATCATCACTTTAATGTGCCTCTAATCAGTGTAGTGGACCTCTGAATTAGTAGCTTTTTTCCATTACTTCTTCAATTAACATTCTAATATTATTTTATCTGTTCATTTATAGTCCTGTACATTGAACAAAGCAAGCAGCGTTAGTTTGCCACTTTGTGACAGAGATCATGCTATTGGTATACATACTAATGACTATAATTCCCCATGGGAATGTCACATTTAGCACAATGGTATCCGGAGTATTCTAGAGAGTGTCACATTGCTATAATGAATTTCCTTTATTTCTTTTAGGCTTTAATCCTAATTTAAACCAATTGAAAGAAAGTTGTTTTCCATGTCAGTATCTCCCCAGTACTATGCACATTCCATATCATATTATGGGGTCCTTAGCTGTCTGTTAATAGCTGCAGGAATAGGCAGATATAGAAAACTTTCCTTTCTTTGAATTTTAATTTATTCTAAGGTTCAGATTTGTACTTTCATAAAAAGCACAGTGCAGTTGTGCTGCAATCGCTTCATCTTCTCTTTTGATTTTCAAAAACTGGGCCTTCCTCATTTCTGGAAAACCTCACACCTTTGCCTTGCCCTTCATTGGTATGTTATATATATTTTTGAGGCAGAGCAATATAAGATTAATCTCTTCTCTCCACAGTTTTGTGCCAGGTTATTATGAGGAAATTGAAATCTCTGAAAGCAGCGTCAACAATGGCACAGAACACATTGGGCCCCACTGTTTTGAGCTACTGCGTGTTTTGGGAAAGGGTGGTTATGGCAAGGTGAGCAATTCCTGAAGAGTGAGTATGTGGGCAGAGGGTTCAACCTTCAACCAAATGGGAGAGAAAAATCCTTTCTAGTAGAAGAGCCAGGTACTTTTATTGGCCTAGAATCTTAGGAAATAAGTGTATTTGTTTCTGTATGGAGGAACATTCATCTTGGGACTGCCTATCCAGAGTCTGAAATGGTGCAGTTTAGCCTGGTTTGTCTCCTTGGGAGAAGTAAGCTACCTCATTGTAAGAAAGCATGTTGATTATCAATGCAGAGCTGATGAAAATGTTCTTAAAAGCCTGTAATTAATCAGAAGGCACTGGTATTAAAGCTCTCTAATCAAATAATACTCTGGATTGCCTTTGCCCCATACTGTTTAAATGGTCTTGCTTGTTCTCAGGTGTTTTTTTTAAAAGAAAGGCTGAGTGCACAATATTAAGGAGTTTGGAAACCCAATGTTTGGGTTATTGGCATCTGATTTTCATAAAAGAGAAGATAGTTCTCTTTCCTCACTCTTTCCTCTGCTGGATAGCTGTGTTGCTCCCTTGAAGATTTTGCTTATTACTTCTGTTCGTGTTTTAGGTGTTTCAAGTGCGGAAGGTACAAGGCACAAATTCTGGGAAAATCTTTGCCATGAAAGTGTTAAAGAAAGTAAGTATCTATCTATCTACAGCTCCGTGTGCCTTGTTAAATATCTTTGTGAGACCATATTTCTCTCTGAATATCTCCTGCAGGCCAAGATTGCCTGTAATGCCAAGGACACAGCGCACACAAAGGCTGAGAGAAATATTCTGGAGGCCATCAAACACCCATTCATAGTAGACCTCATCTATGCTTTCCAGACTGGTGGCAAGCTCTACCTCATCCTGGAATGTCTCAGTGGTATGGAAACAAACCTCCATGGAAAGGAAACAATTGCAGTGGATTTGGCCAAAAACCTGGGACCTGATTCTTCTTGTTCTGTGGTAGATTTTAGAGGTTGGGTCAGACATTGCTGGAGAAGACTGATGGTAGTATCTCTTTGTGCTTTGCTTCGTAGGAGGAGAACTCTTCATGCAGCTGGAACGGGAAGGCATCTTCCTGGAGGACACAGCCTGGTTAGTGAAAATGCTACCTAAGCTGAACTGGAACAGCCACGAAGATTGGCATTCACCGTAGGCTTTGTCTCCTCTTTCTTACTATGGCCAGAAGTAAGGTGACAATAGAGGCAACTGGAAATCTCGAGAGTAGAGTAAATCTCTCTGTACCTTTCAGTCATTCTGAAACATCCACTGAGCCCTACCAAGGGGTCCTATTCAAAGTGATTCAGTTCCCCTTAGCTAAGGATGGGAACACAGGCATAGGTCATTTCAGACTTTTTTTTTTTGCAGGATGCTTTATGGATAAAGTCAATTTTATTTGGCTAAATCTGGGTGCTGTTGAACACAGCAATGATGATATCTAACAATGTTTTCTGAATTCCCGTGAGCTCGTATAATCAGAAGAAGTGGCTCTAGTGCTTTTTAGGCAGAGTTCAGTCACCTGGCCTAATGGGATGTGTATGCTGCTGGATGTGGGGAGTAGTTAATGCTTTTCTAAAAGAGGGCGCAGGGCCGTCCAGCATAGCAATGTGATCATGCACCCTTTAAAAGACTTACCTGTTCATCCAGCTGTATTGTAATGTTTACGCAGTCTCCATTTTTGGAAAATGTTGTGGAGTGGCGTTGGCAAGTCAGCTACAAGTGGATTATCTGAATCCCTTGAAGTCAAACTTCAGGTCCAGATATGGGATGTAAATTGGTGCTTTAGTGGATGATCTTCATGGCAACACCCTGGTCTTATTACACCTCTTGTCCTTAAGGGCTTAGTGGGTTTGCTGCTACCTAGTGGATGGTTCCAGTCAAAATTGTGGGATGTTGCTTCCAAAATAGGTCCCACAAAACTGAGTCTTCTTGTTAGTCAACATTTTATACATAACCATAAGGAGAGGCCACCCATCAGTTCATTGAAAAGTATCATTAGTATGCTGATGAGACTCAATTCTTCCTTGCTCTTCCTGGCTCTAAGTGGCTATGGATGGGGAGGTCATATCACATAAATGTATGTAGATAATTTCTGCTGCATTTTGAAATGTACAAGCTCTCGTTTTCAGATACGTAAAACAGATGCCCAAAGCAGTGCCCAAGGCCCAAGTGGGGAAGGTGGGGAGAGTTGACTAATGAAAGAAGGTCACAGTATTTAAATATATGGACAAATGTCCACCTCCCTTCTTTGGTTGCCCAGTCTCACTATTGCATGCGGCAGTTTGTGTCCTCCTACTGATTCTTCTGTAAATGCCCTCCTCCTTTAGTTGGAACTAGAAGTGGGAAGATAGGAGGAAATTAAGTGCAGATAATCTTAAAATATTGAATTCCTGCAAAATTCCTTGACTATGCAAAATGTGTTCAGATAAGATTTCAGGATTGCGAATCTCTGTTGATTAAAAATACCATATGCCATTTGATCCTTCCTGTTTTCCCAAGCGGAAAGTAGATATTTTCATCTGAGCTCGAAAGTGCCAAATTTCATCTCAAGGTCTTTTTCTGACAGCTGAGTTCCTCAATTCTATAAATGGCTTAAAGTTGAAGATGGGCCTTCCCTCCTAGAATCGTTTCGGTGAAATCAGACTCTCACCCAACAGCTTTCATTATGAGTTATTAACCCCTCACAGATAAATGAGCTGTATGGATTGCTTGGGGTTACATTATTGATCAGGCCCCTTTTCTGTTCTGACAGTTTCTATCTGAGTGAGATCATCCTGGCTCTTGGCCATCTCCATTTTAATGGCATCATTTACCGGGATCTTAAGCCAGAGAACATAATGCTAAACAGCCAAGGTAGGGAAAGCATCCTTATTTATGGAGGGAAGGGTGGGAGGATGCATAATAATTTGAATGTTATCTACTACTCTGTGATCCCAACCAGGGCTGTAATATGACTTTGACTTTCCCATTTCCTCTGCAGGGCACATTAAACTGACGGATTTTGGGCTTTGCAAGGAATCCATCCATGATGGTGCTGTCACCCACACCTTTTGTGGCACTATAGAATACATGTAGGTGACGAAGGCTCATGAGCACCTTTAGGATACCTCTTCTGGATCTGTTTTAGTGTGAGGTTAACTGGTTCAATAATTATGTACCAATTTCTTTCTCTGCCCTCAATTCCAGGGCCCCGGAAATATTGATGCGCAGTGGCCACAATCGGGCTGTGGACTGGTGGAGCCTTGGTACCCTGATGTATGACATGCTCACAGGATCGGCAAGTCTGACTTGTGCTGCTTTTGGAGGCGGGCGGGGGGGGGGGGGTAAGTGACAGAGGTTGCAGTGGTGGGAAGGGAGCGAAGGAAGAATTGCCAATCAGTTCTCACTGGATAACAGATAAACTATTGCAGAGATTCTCACGTTGAGGTCAGCTGGCTGTTGACAAAGGATAGTAGGAAGAATGCCCTATTGTCCTAATCAACACACTACACAATTTCTGAAAAACAGGCAATATAATCAGTACAAGCAGTATTAGATCTGCCAGCTAAACCATTAACAGGGCTACTGAAGTGATACTTGGCTGTCTTGCTATCTCTTTTACTTGGCTCAGGCAAAAACCCACCGGCTGAACTTTCTGTTTTTAAGGGACAGTGCTTATATTTCAATTTGAATTTGCTACCAGTTTTTTTCATCTGTCCGTTGTTTCCCTTACTTTCTCCCCCAACCTCTGCCTACTCTACTGTTCCTTGAGTTTGTAGGATCACTTATCTTAAGCCCTTTGTGTTGATGCAGCCTCCATTTACCGCTGAAAACCGCAAAAAGACAATTGACAAAATCCTGAAAGGCAAGTTGATGTTTCCACCCTATTTGACTTCAGATGCTCGGGATCTGCTCAGGAAGGTATATAACTGTGTATATCACATAAGATTGGGCTACACTGATTGGAATTTTGAATCTTATGGTTATATTAATTATTATAAAATTAATAACTGGCTTCTTCTCCCAGGTATTTTACTGTTGTTGTCAAGCAGTCTTCCCAACCCAGTGTTCCTTTTTCCAACATAGTTAGGGGCCATGTTGACCACAGATGGTAAGAATCAAAGTCCAACATATTTGGAAGGCATCAGGTTTAAAAAGGTCACTGCAAGCTATTTAGTAATGAGCAGCATAATACATTTAGTAAAGATGATTTCATTAGTAAAGCCACAGATTAACAGTATCGGTATGATTTTTTTGTCATTGAAAGCTAAGGAGCTGACTGATAAAACTGTGCTCAAGGCATTCCATTCATATATTCCTAGGAATATGTTTGTTGGATTGACATCCACAATCTGTACTGGGTGCCATATTGAATTTTAGAGGGAAGAGAAGCTTAACACAGAGTTGGTAAATGCCACCCTTCACAGAGTGACAGTTCAGAAGGGCTTTCCAGAGTACATGTGTACCTGAGCAGCTTCCTTCCTATCACATCTTTCAGTGCATGATTTGCCATTCTTTTGCTTAAATGTGACTACGCCCAAAATGCACTGGTCACCTTTTCCTGAACTTGGAGTAAGCACAGCTGGCTTTCTGGTTCCTTCTTTCCTATAAAAGTATAGTTAGCTGCTCTTGCCTTTTAGTGGCCTACTTGTTTTATTACCCTGAGCTGAGAATAGAGAAGGAAGGAAGCCCTGGTCTCTCATCAACAATACTCAGAAGAAGGAACCATTTACAGCACTAGAGTAGCCCTGCTCGACTTACATTCACCTACTTGCTCTACTTGGCCCAGGATGGACAGAAAGAGGTAGCAGGCCAGTGGCAAAGCACATTGGGTTACAAATAGTCCTCACTTACCGACTGCTTGTTCAGTGGCCCTTTGAAGTTGGGATGGAGCTGAGAAAAAGAAACTGATGACCAGTCCTCAAAGTTGCAGTCATCCCTGTAGCCACATGATCGCAATTTGAGCGCTTGGCAATTGGCACATGCTTTCAAAACAGGCGTAGCTCCTGTGGTCATGTGATTGCCCTTTGCAGCTGGCTTCCCACAAGTAAAGTCAATGAGAAAGTCGGAAGTTGAAATCATGTGGCGTTGTGTTTAATAGCCGCAGCTTATTTGCTTCAGGACCACAGCTGGAACGGGTGTCTTCAGTCAGGTGCGATCTTGTGATATTTCACTTTATGACTGCGCCACTTAGTGTATGGCGTTTCCAGTCCCATTTAGAGTTGTTGAGTGAGGACTATCTGTACTGAATGGCGCTCAAAGGTGGCTGCAAAGAGGGCTGGGGAGCCCCATCTCAGTGGAATGCAGTGGGGCCGATGACTTGCATCTCTTGCCAGAATAGGAATGGGGCCTTTACCGTGAGGGCAGGGCTGGGTGAGCACCTCTGTGTGGAAAGAGATCCAGCTAAGCCAGTTCTGTGGTGAATAATATCCTGAATCAGGATGAAATGGAGGTTACAGTGAAGCTGTCCTAGTGGAAAAAATTTGAACTGTGAATTCTTGAATTCTCAAAGAGTGATTTGTCCTTTTGGCAATATCCGAAGCAGGATTTCTCAAAACATGCCTCTTTCCTTCCCTAGTTTCTCAAAAGGAACCCCAATCAACGAATTGGAGGTGGGCCAGGTGATGCTGGAGATGTTCAGGTAAAGTGGATTGGTGGAGAGGGGAAGAGGTTTTCTCTTAATATGTCCAAGAATTTGGAATTTTTGACGAGCAAGTTAAAATCTGAAGGTGATTTTGGCGAAGGTGCTGCAAGCCTGGGGCTATCGCCCCATCAGGCTTTTCGAAAGAAGGCAGGGCATCAGCACCTTGCATTGTTCTTTCTCTAAACCATAATTAAATGCTTAAAACAATTAAAGTAATTGCTCTCTTCAGCTGTAAACTAGGGGGAGGGGAGATGGAGAATTTTTTTGGTATTAGAAGTGAATATCGGTGCCTTTTTAAGTGTAGAACGCCGGTAATTTTGTAGAAATTTGAGATTTGGAATATGAGAACTATAGTATGTGTTTGAGGATTCTTCATGTGTTTTAGATAGTATTAAAGTCTTTATTTTCTCTTTTAGAAACACCCATTCTTCCGACACATTAACTGGGATGACTTGTTGGCCAGAAGAGTTGACCCTCCATTTCGGCCATCTTTGGTAAAGTGACCACATTTCAGTCCCTATTGCTGCCTTTTCTCTATTTTACGGTCTTGTCCCTGACTATAAATAGGCCTTCTCAGAATCTTGGTCTTGATTTGTAGCTTATATAACGAAAGAAGATTAAGGACTGCTAAATTGGATGAGGGTTTTATTGGATTTTCATTTCACATAAAGAGGTTTTCTGGTATAAATAAGCATCATTTGCCTAGTTCTCATATATTGCTAAGCCTAGTCCTTTTGTACCAGGAGCTAATATTGTTTTATCTCACAATATTCAACTCTTTTCCACCATTTTCTTGGTGAAAGTCGGGGTTTCATTGCTGTTTGTTGCCAGATTTCTGAAGTATAGTCTTGGGATGGAGCCATGACAAAGCTGCAGAAATGGAATAGAGTAGCTACTCAATCTGAGTTGCTTCCTTCTAATAATCTGCAGCGGCTATATTTATTTATTGTGCAAAGAAAATCCAAACAAGCTAATACCTGCCCACTTCACATGCTTCTTTGATTATCTTACACTGTTGTGCAAATTTTCATTACACTTTAAACCTGTTTAGTTCTACCCTCAGTGTAAAATCCATTTATCTCTCTTAGATAAGTCCAACTGTATGATATCATCTTATTATACAGCAGGGGTGTCATCACGTGACATATCAGGACTTTCCCCCCCTTCGCTAAATCAGGCGTGCACGTGGCCAGGACAAGATGCATCTGGTCTGCGGGCCGAGACTTTGACAGCCCTGTTATACAGCTCCTTTACATCATGTGCTAACAATGCTTTTTTTCTTTTTTCAGAAATCTCCACAAAATTTCTGGAAAAAGAAAGGCCTTCGTTTGTGTAGATATTAACATGGGCTAGAATTCACCCATAACCAAAAAGCTATATGATAATAGCATGATGAGATATGCAGAATATCTTTTTCCATCCACAGCAATCAGAAGATGATGTCAGCCAGTTTGATACCCGCTTCACTCGCCAGACACCTGTGGATAGTCCTGACGATGGATCTCTCAGTGAGAGTGCCAATCAGGCTTTCCTGGTAAGGAACAACCAGCTGGAACTACAGTGAGAAGGAAGAGGAGCTAGCAAAATCTGGTTTACAATCCTATTACAAAGCAGTGGGGAGAGCCTTCTTCCTCCCAGGTTCCTCCTTTCCCTATGACTAACCTTTGGGGACCACATGCCAGCTAAAGGATAAAGACCAGTGCAAAAATTAAACGGTGACTCCCAACTTTTTGAAAAAAGTCTTAGATAGCAACCACTTGCTGCTTGGAAAAAAAAGCTTTCTTAAGAGCTGGCTTGTGATCCCAAAGGTGTTGGGTTTTTTTTTGAAAAGGCAACTCGTTTGGAACTGAGGAAGCTTCTTGGAGGAGAAGTGAAACATCTTCAAGGAAAACAATGCAAGTCCAGTTGCCTTTTGAAAGAACAACTATGACCTGGGTGACTGAGAATCTCCATAGACAGCTGGCTTGGGAGTTAACTCTTCTTAACCACCCTTGCCAACTGCAGTCTTAAAGATAATCCTCTCCTAGCAAACAGGCAGATCAAAAATAAAAAGCATTTTAAAGTATATGTTTCATGCAAGCGGGGTGGAAGGGAACCTAGGCTGAATCCTGCAACTGATTCTAACTTTTGATGTAGAAATTAAATGGGGAACTTAGGGCATTCCAGGTGATTGAACTACAACTTTCAGCAACCATTATTGACCACATTAGCAGGGGTTGCTGAGAACTGTTGCTTGCAACCTTGGCAAGGCCACCAATTCCTCATTGTTGATCAAAAGAAAGAAAGAACATAATTGAATCCCAGCTCCTGAAATGAAATTATGACCATAGCAACACTGACTGGGTGTTCTTCCCCTAGGGATTTACCTACGTAGCTCCATCTGTGTTGGAAAGTATCAAGGAAGGGTTTTCCTTCCAACCCAAGGTGCGATCTCCACGGCGTCTCAACAGCAGCCCCCGTACACCTGTCAGGTAAATCTGGAGACAGAAAGTTGGGAGAAAGTCTAGATCAGAGGTCTACAAACCTGGCACTTTAAGACTTGTGGACTTCAACTTCCAGCTATGCTGGCTGGAGAATGCTGGGAGTTGAAGTCCACAAGTCTTAAAGTTGCCAGGTTTGGGGATCCCTGGTCTAGCTCTTCGGGGCATGTTCCTCAAGGGGCTGGCTGCAGGAAGGCTGTGGTGCCTGCTGAGTCCTTGCTTCCCCAAGGGGAACGCTGTCTCTAAGGCTACGGTTTGCTCTCCTGTCCAGATACCAGAGCCACAAGCAAGACTTTAAATGACCTAGCTCTAACCTGTCCTTGTTTTTGCAGCCCACTGAAGTTCTCACCCTTTGAGCCCTTCAAGCCAAGCACAACAGTAGAGTTAATGGAGCTGTCGGCAACCCCTCTTGGGCCTGTACTAGAAGTCACGGCTCCACTGCCCATCAAAACACCTTCAGGCACGAAAAAGAAGAAAGGCCGAGGGCGGGCACGATAATTGGGGCAGCAAAGAGACCTCTGGATTTTCATCATCAGGTGGAGCACTGGAGTGTGGCAGTGGGTGGACTAGATTGTGTCTGTGGGGCCCTACTGGAAGCCTCAATTTTCCCTTTCACTTCACAGGGCCACCTTCTCTCCCAGCGAGAAAGGGACACCTGATGTTGGTGCTTCCTTGATGTCAGGACTAACTCAGCCATGGTGCTTTTAGTGCAATCTACAGTGAATCCTGGAGGGAAGAGAATAATTTGGGAAGCACAAAGGAGTCGTGAGCAGCAGAAGTCTGCCTTATTATCACCCTAGGAACATTTGTCTGAGTGCCTCTTGAAATTTTGCAGAGTCAGAGGAAAAAGCACGTGCTCTGGCTCGTATCGTGGCTGCTCTAGTTGAAAGCTCAGGACCTGTCAAGGAAACAAAGCAACTCTGAGGAAGTGGAAGAAAGGATCAGACTGCTCCTTCAGGGTGAAGCTTCTTTACCTGTCTTCTTTTTCCAACAGGCATCCCTTTGCCAAAAATGACCACCTCTCCCTCGGTGGTGCTTGTTGCAAGATAAGTGCTCGCCCAGAACTGCTGTTGACCTTCTCTGAAATAGTGGTGTCCTTAGCCACAAATGAATCTTCGCAAATGGCACCATGTCATTCCTGGCTCATACTCAGGAAATGAGTGTTGTGCTGCATAGAAAAAATTTGTCAGTTGTAGGAATTGTTACACAGAGAAATACTAAGCAAATACTAAGCAAAGAGAGGTAGGGGTTTTGTTTTTTGTTTTTGCCAGCCCAATTACAAAATCAACTGTTGAGATACGGCCAACGGTTCTCTGTTTTATTGTTTCAGGGAATATGCCTTTTTTTTTTTTTTGTTTGACAACAAGCTTTTTGGAACAGGTTAGAAGAAGCAAATGCAACCGTACAGACAGTGCTGCTCCCAGTGGGAGCAGTGTACAAAGCAGAGTGACAGCCGTCTTGGGTTTCCCCCTATGTGGATAGGGTACCCAGCATTAGAAGCTTGTTTGTGACAAGTCCTTCCTTCCTTCCTTCCTTCCTTCCCCCCTGGGATTTCTAGAGAGCAGTGTCGCTCAGTGATTTGCCACTGTCTTCCCAGGATGCCGTTCCAGAGAAGGAATGCAGGTGACTCAGTAGAACTTCTGCGCTGCCCTGGGCTGCCTTTGACACTTCACCTTCTTCCAAGGCCTCCTCCTCCAATGCTGCCTCTTCATTGGCTTCCTTGGTCAGCTTCTCTTTTTCCTCCCGAAGGAGCTGCTTTTTCTCTTTCTCCTCCTCCTCCTTCTCCTCCTCCATCTCCTCATCTTCTTCTCCTCCTCCATCCTCCACATGCTGCTGTCGCTCTTCCTCAAGCTCTCCATCAGTCTGTTGCTCATCCTGGTAGTCCTCAGCCAGGTCCTCAGAAAGTGTCTCCCTCCGGAACTGTTGCCACCAAAGAACCAGGTTACTCATCAGGTGCCTAGGATGGTACCTTCCTTCTGTTACACGGTTCAAATAGTGCCATGCTATACATAGCACCACCAGCAGCACAAACAACAGGCAGATGAGGATTGTCACTGTGGCGTCCCCATTGTTTCCCCCGCCACTGTCTGGATTCTCTGCCTGGATTTTTCCAGGAAGCAACAATAAGAGGATATGGGAGAGCCTGAGCTTCTGTAAAAAGAAAAGAGTCTGGATTAGTCACGATCCGAGCTTCTTTTGGACCCTTCCGTGCAGCCGCCTGACTTGCTCCTCAAATCTTCAACAGGCGCTTCCCTGTGCTTCTCTGTCTCCTCCTAGCTGGCCATTGGTGCCTGACAAGCTAGCTCCTCCCAGCCCACCCTCGTTCTTCTCATGCCACAAAACCAAAGCCAGCCATTATTTGTGAGGAGCAGCAGTGCCTCTCGGGGAAGCATGAGATAGCATGGCAACGCGCCATGGTACTTTGGGTAGAGGGAAAGGGGGAAAGCCAAGAAATGGGAGGCAGGATAAGGTAGGAGATCCCACCAATGGGAAATAGGCTGCTCCATAAACCCAGAGAAGACAATGCACAGCTGCCACGGCAGTGTTTCCTCCATAGCATCTACTGAGCCTATAAGCTCCCCATAAGGACTAGCACAAATCTCAGATCAGCACAGCCCTTGGGTGTGAAAGGGTCATTTGCTGTATTCAACTCCTGAAGCAATTCTGTAGCTCTGGAATCTTGGAATTCTGCCCTTTAAAAGTTGCACAATAATTGGCCTCAGCTACAATTTGTAAGGGGAAAGCATGGACAGAGATGGACTGGAAGTATCTTGCAATTGCTCAGGGGCTATTTAAACTTTACCTGTTAGTCAGTTAGCTACTGCCCTATGATGGCTTGTATTTTAAAAATAGCACAAAGAGTTTAATCTCTTTTGCAGTCTATGTTAGATAGTAGGGTAGTTGTGATGTTAGGCACTTTGCAGACTGCTGCAGTCTCATAACTCATACGGTGCATGCTTCCTGATATAACAGCATGAGAGAGAGAGAAAGAGAGATTAAGATTTTGTCTTTGCACAAGTTCAATTTCTGAAAATAAAGACCCATCCACGTAATACTCAGGACTAAATATACTCTGCACTTAAAAAAGGAGATTATGTAGCCAGAAAAACCTTACGGTTTTAGAAAGAAATGCACATGCATATTATTTTTTACACGTCTTTCTGCAATTTTTAGATAATTTATTATGGATTGTGTAATTGAAAGAATTAGGAGGTAGGAATCTCTGAAGCCTCACATCTGCCAATCTTCAGCTACTGTTTGCTCTTGCAAATTGTGCTAATATTGCCCCAATGCTTTATTTCTTCCAGCTCTCTGGTGATTACAAATGTTTGCTAACAGTGTGTTACTTTAAAAATAAACGCTGACAGTCTCAGCATTTGTACTCAAAGTGAATGGGTTTTTCTACCTGGAAAAACAGGAAATCAGCAGAAATCTCAACTTTTGTTTCAGAAGGTCAGAACTATGTCTGTTGTAAGCAGAGGCGTGTCCAACTTTTTGGCTTGCCTGGGCTGCATTGAATGAAGAGGAATTGTCTTGGGCCATGTATGAAATATATAATATGGTTAATGTATCTAAATAACAAACTTCCTTTGTTTTGGAGTTCTTGTGGATGCATGCAGCCTGTGGGCAGTGGGTTGGACAAGCCAGTTGTAGCATCCACATGAGACACTAAAAGGGAACTGCATTGCTGATTCTGATTCTCAGTACTTAAATGTCTTCAAAAGAAGGGAAAAGGCTTTTTGCAAATACAGGTAGTCCTCAACTTACGGCCACAATTGAGTCCCAAATTTCCATTGCTAAGTGAGACATTTGCTAAGTGAATTGCCCCACTTTACGATCTATCTTGCCACAGTTAAGTGAATCAATGCACTGGTTAAGTTAGTAACCCGGTTGTTAAGTAAATCTGGCTTCCCCATTGACTTTGCTTGTCAAAAGAAGTGATTACATGATTCCAGGACACTGCAACCGTCATAACTACGAACCAGTTGCCAAGGGCCTGAATTTCGATCACATGACCATGGGGATGCTACCGCTCTTGTAAGTGTGAAAAACAGTCATAAGTCACTTTTTTCATTGCTGTTGTCACTAAATGAACTGCTGTAACTTGAAGACAACCTGTAGACCTGCCATACACTTGGACAAACTCTTTTCTTCTCACCTAAACAGGACAGATAATCTGGAAGGAGTTTAAACTGATTTAATGTATTAAGCTGTTAACATTTTCATTGGCTATTGCAAATATGGTTAATAGTTTAGTGGGTGGTGTGAACTCAGGATAACTGGAGTACTGTTCAATAAACCTGGAATCCTTTGGGCCTCAACCCTTCTGCCAGCCTTTTTTTTTTCTTTTAAAGTATCTGCATTTTAAATAGAAGGGTCACAATCATGTGGTCATCTGCATGGCTGTTATTTCTAAAGAGAATTCTTTGGTAGTTTAAAAAATAAATAAGGAAAAGGTTGAGTAATTGTGGCCTTGAACTTTATTTTGACATATACCTATCTGCCCAGGAAAAAAAAATAACAGTGCTTAAGGTAGGGAGCAACCTAAGAGATGTGGTAATGAGAAGCACTGTTTATTGTAGGTGCTACAATGATTGGTTCTTAAGGAGGAAGCTGTAGAAAAAATGGAAATGTTCTGAAAGTGAGCTGAATGAGCAAGTAAATAAGATGGTTAGCAAGAGTTTTGTGATAAAGTCATTAAATCCAGCGAATCGTGCAAAGAATGGAAGAGCTATTGGATGGAGTTGACTGTGCAGTCCTTCCTTATCTGCAATATCTGGGATATTTGTGTTCTACCTGAAAACCACAAAGCAAATGTATGCTGCAAATGTAGACTCACTAGCTGTATTTTAGGGGGGGAAAGGATCAGAGCAAGAGCTTTTATCAGCTGATAAAAGAATGAAGATTTCTTGAGCCAAAGCTAGGAAATCCACTTAAGAGTAGATACAAGTTGCAGTGTTCCACAAGGAAGAGAGATAAGCAATGAAGTCAGATGGATGAGAGCGATTGCCAGAAAGGATCTTCTGAAGAAATTTTCCACCATTAAAAATAATTTTCAGGTTTTCATTAAAAAAAGAAGGCTTTGAGTTTGTAGGGAAGAGACAAGTGCTTAAGATGAAAGACTGGAGATATGTAAAGAGGAAAGGATACACCTGTAGAAGGATCAATAAGGCAATTGTAATAATTTGTGACTCCCTGCTAAAAGGAATATACAATAATATGTACCAGATCTGCTGGTTTAGAAAATACTGTTTCTCGGATGTGTAATAGATGGATGTGACAAAGCAGCTGGCTTATCACAGACATTCAGGCATTCTCTCTTGATGCCATCAAAACAGCTCATTTATCTTGGACTGTGAAGCTATGGAAGAAAAGTGAAAAATCTGTGAGCGCTGCTGGTTGTGTCATCTTTCCTTCCAATTCATAGAAGAGAAGTAGAAAGTGAAAACATACTGCCATTTGAATTACCAACGATAAAAATGGTATCAGAAAAACATGATTTCTGAGAATATGGTTTATGTTATGCAGATGATAAATGGTTGGCATGAAATTATTTGCATTTTAGGAAGACTGGGAAAAGTGTGCTTGAGCAAAAAAATCAAACCCAATCTGGAAGATGGAGGAAACCCAGAAAAAGATTAACAGAGTAACTTTAAGGGCCTATTAACCCACCAGTGAAAATCAGAAATCGGTTTATAAAAAAGCACAGCATTCATTGTCTATATGCTAATGAATGGAATAACAGAGTTAGAAAGGACCTTGGGGATCTGGTCTAACCTCCAAATCCTATACCATTTCACACAAATGGTTGTCCAATCTGTTCTTAAGAATCTCCAGTGTTAGAGCACCCACAATTTCTGGAGGCAACTCATTCCACTGATAAATTGTTTTCACAGTCAGGAAATTTCTCCTTAGTTCTAGGTTCACTCCTTGATTAGTTTCCATCCATTGCTGTTTCTCCTGCCTTCAGGTGCTCTGGGGAATAGATTTATCCCCTCTTCCCTGAATGGGGTGTGTGCGTCAAT